AACTCGTTAATAAACTTTTGTGATAAATTCATATGTTCAACAATCTTGTAAACGATAAATGATACGTAAATAAATATCTAGATTTCAAAAAAGAATTTATAATTTATGCGGTACTGAAAAATTTAAAAAAAATAAAATCAAAGTTTTAGTTCGAGATCTCAAACGTTCTTTTGGTTTGAAAAGAAAAAGCTTTCAATGAGAAACTACTTTACGGTAAAAAAATGGAGGTTAAAAGAATATATGTTATAAACCTATTTTACTATTTATTCAGACAAAAAATATTCTTTTCAATTAAAATTTTATTTGAGTAAAATTTAGATATTTAAAACTGAAAAGACCCCAATGGTCCAATATCCTTTTTTTTGGAGATACAAATGAAAAATTAAAACATGTGGATTCCTTATTCACATTAATGGATAGGGTTAAAAAACCTCTTCCTAAAGAATTTTGTTTGACGATAGCAGGCCCATTTTCACAAGAAGGAAGGAGGGGGGGGGGGGGCTGGTCACAATAAATAATAAATTATCACTTTTACAATCTAGTAAACATATTTTTGTGATAACTGATGATTAATTTTAATTGTGAGCTTGTTAATATTTTTATTAAAGGACAACCTTGCAATACGCACTTTCAGCAGACCAAACGTATTCATGGTCAGTGGAAATAAAGGATATGGATATAAAAATGTAAAACGTGAAACCCCCTTCATAGATACAACTAGGTAACATAACCAGAAACCAAAAATGAGACTAATAAATGCACTATCTTACTATCTATCTATATATATATATATCTAGATAATCTAGTTAAAAAAAACTTTCAATCATACTTCTTAGGGACACCCTGTACCATACCTCCTGTTTAGAAACTTTGGCGGGTAATGTCTCCAACTGATTGACGAAGAGCTCCAGCTCCTCCACCGTTAACCTCCATTTAGCATCAGCTCCCAATCTTGTCCGAACCTTTAACAATAAATTAATAATAATGATAAACATCTAGATAAATAATAATCTTGGTGAACAATGAACAGTTTACAGTGTACGCCTATTACAACCGAAAAGTAAAGAGATAAAATCTGCCTCTAATAGCATCTTATTCCATATAGAAAAATCGACATCGGCTGGCAGGTTAACCTTTTTTAAATTAATTTTATTCATTAATTTTTCCAAATTCAGTGAAAAAACAAATGATTATTCAAGAAAATTTAAACCCTAGCCCAATAGAACTTACCTTTCCCTGAGTACTGCAGAGCTGTTGAGCCACCATCTGACATTTATCCGCTTCCTCCACCACAGTCTGTAGAGCCAGGAGCAGCTCACTTCCTGGATACTTCTTCTCCTGAGCCTAAGCAATTCATCAATCAATCAATCAATCAATATTTTCTCCCAAGTGGTATACAGGATCATTATTATCAACCAAAGTTAAGGAATTGCTCCTAATTGAATAGAATAAAGCTTTTTTTAAATTAAATGTAATGATGAGACAAGTAAGAAAGCGGGTAGGACTGTGAGAAGAGAAAGGAGATTTGATGAGGAGTTGGGGTATTGAGCTGAGTAACGTCAATTCTGAAAAAAAACCGAAGCCGAATTTAAAGAATATGAAGTCGCGGTTCAAACATGGTTGGTAGAAGGTATTTCAATACAGGTTTCGAGATTTGTGCCAGGGCTCAATTGGAACCGGCTATTGGCAATTCAGCAACGCGGTTCAAATTCTTTAAACTCGGCCTCTGGTTATATTTTACAGCTTACATCTCTACTAACCTTTGAATAGAACTCCTTGAGAACTGAAAACTCTAGTCTCTCCTCTCCTCTAGCATCTAGAGCTGATCTAACTTCTCCGGTCCAGGTATCATACGACTCAGCGTGGTTCTTTAATCCACGGAGTAATACAGCCAGTTCATCCATAGTGTACCTAGAGTTCATACAGTACAATAGTATTTCAGCCAGTTCATCCATAGTGTACCTAGAGTTCATAAGTACAATAATATTTCAGCCATTTCATCCATAGTGTACCTAGAGTTCATAACAGTACATTATTATTACAGCCATTTTATCTATAGTGTACCTAATGTTCATGCAGTACATTAGTAATAAAGCTAGTTCATCGGTAGTGTACCTAGAGTTCATACAGTACATTAGGATTAACAGGTAGTTCCTCCATAGTGTACCTAGAGTTCATAAAGTACAATAGTATTTCAGCCAATTCAAAGTACTGTAGTGTACCTAGAGTTCATACAGTACATTAGTAATACAGCTAGTTTCTCCATAGTGTACCTAGAGTTCATACAGTACATCAATCAGTACATACCTGTATCTGAGTATAAGCTGTGACGGATTTACGTCCATACTCTTGAAATGCCGGAGACAAACGATCTCCTGAACAAATTTCATAGTTTAGAAAGAGCATATTTAAACAGAATCCCTAAAAGCATGAGGATATATTATTTAGATGGCTGTCAATGGTAGATGGGGCTATTGCACACGTTACCTCTACTCGCACATAAAACTATTCAATGCACATGTCATGCTAAGTCATTAATCCAGAATTTATTAAAAATGTAAAAGATGGATTGGTGGAAGGAGTAGATAACTGGGAAACATTCGTGTTAACAGGCAGTCAAAATAAATAAATCTTGAAACCCTTTCTCGAGATCTTTCTTAATTTGTAAAATATTGTTTTCTAAACATTCATTCTACCTGATCATCCCGACCGTTCACTACAGTGAGCGCGGACATAAATATGGTTGTTTTACAGAGCGCGCACTGGCGCTCGTCTTCAGGAAGAAGCTCAAAAGCTTCTCTCTCTGCCGCGCGAACTCCTCCCTCAACCAGTTCTCCTCTCTGGGCTCTCTCCGTCTCTACCATCTTCAACATGTCCTGGAATAAATTTTCTAAAGATTTTGTTTATATATTAAATATAGATTTATCATACAGACGTAGTCAGTTGTCAGTCTAGTACCACCTTACCTTGTTTACAGATATTTATGAACATGATATTTTGTAAATGGTTTATCGGCTGTTCTGTGACAATCTTAACTTGCAACATGCTGATTTAGACAGTATTTAGCTGTTCTGTAATAATCTTACCTTATTACATACAGCTAGAACCACATGTCAGTTGTTCTGTCACCAAATTACCTTTTAATATAAAGCTGTAACCAGTAGTCAGCTATTCAGTAACCATCTTACCATGTAACAAACAGCAGGATAGTCAGCTGTCCTTTAACCATTCTACCATATAAGAAACTGCTGCAATATGAAGATGCAGCTGTTCTGTAACCTTCTTACCTTGTGACAAATAGCAGCAACCTGTAGTCAACTGTTTTGTAACCTTCTTACCTTGTAACAAACAGCTGAAACCTGGAGTCAGCTCTTCTGTAACCATTTTACCTTGTAACACACAGCTGCAAACATTTGTTTTCAGCTGTTTAAGTAACCATCTTACCTTGTAACATAAAGTTGCAACCTGGAGAGTCAGCTGTTCTGTAACCATCTTACCTTGTAACAAACAGCAGCAACCTGGAGAGTCAGCTGTTCTGGGCGTGATGCCATCTTGCAGATCAACTCATCATGGCAAAACACACAGAACCTAAAAATTCATAATAAATTTAACAAGGAATAATATTTTTTTTATTTTTTACCTCCCATTTTTTTATCATTTTGTTTTATTAGCCGCAACTATAATCACTACGATTGTACAATATACATTGTGTTGAAAATTAAACCATCTTGCTTACAACTTTCCCCCATGTACGCGTATGCTGATCATGTTATTTACGTTCAAATGTCCTTTTCTGTTTTTTTTTGCTTTAACCCGAATTTAACAAGATTTTTTCTTTTAAAAATGTGTCTTTATCACCAACTACATACACATTTTGCGATATATAAATAACTTATTCTATGCGAAACCCTATTTATTTTGTTTTACTGTTAATTTTGATGTTGTGTCGTATAGAACCAATAAAGATTTATATAATAATAACATTGTGTTGAATTATTCAAAAAATATTATAGTTCATCTTTTTATTGATAAATTTGCTGAATTTCACATTTTTAATCTTAAAAAATATTTTTCATTTCAAGCATGACAAAAACCATTTCTAAACATATTCAAACCCTAACAAAATAAGTCCCACTTTGTTCCGCCATATTAAAACCTTTTGATCCACAAAAAGTACATTAAGAATAAATAAGAACCTTCTCATTAGGCTGTAGTGCTCAACACATTTACGCCCGATCTCGAGCCAGTCCGGCGGAGCAAAATTAACCGCCTCCGCCATATTGTATCCGTGGTTGAACCCGGCGTGATACGCCCTGGGAAATGTGATGATAAATTCTCCCGCGTACTGGTCCATCCTAAAATGAGCAGTTTATTATATATTTGAAAAAAGTTTTTATAACTAGATAAGTTTTGGACAATAGTTGATTTCTTATTCTTGACTTTTTGAGATCCACTGTGGCATCTATTAGACGTTATACATTTTTAAGAATTAATGCTTGATTTTCCCAGCGCACAGAAAGATAGCGCCGTAGTATCTCCTGTTAATGGGACTGTTCGGCGTAATTTCAAGTGGCCCTCGACATGGCAATACACAGAAAGCAATGAGCATTGGTAAACGGTACCCTTAAAATCTTGATCTGATCAATAATAAGGAAGATATTGCCGTTTTGCTAGTTGTAACAGTGTCCAATTCCGATAATTCCTGTATGTTTTCCTACAGTAGAAATGTGCAACTCACTTTTGTAGTGAAGCCACAATTGAAAATAATCAGTTTACAAAATTGTAAACATTGATATTTAATTCATACTGGATCAGACCAATCCGACATAGCTTTAAATGTTACCGTTGTGAATCGGGCATTGCTTTCTATGAATGGAGTCTCTTTAATGATGACTGACCTGTATACGGGTATACCGTGTGCAGAGAGTACATTAGGGTTCATGGTCGTCACAATATGATGAAGAAGGTCAGGTTGGGTTTCAAACAGTTCTCTACAAACATTTTATGTTATTTATTCCATTGATTTCATTGAGCAGGCATATTTTCCCCCCATATAGACAAGAGGAGAAGGGGAAAGGGGGTTATAAAAGCTCACGTTTCCCACTCTCCCAGTCTGAAAAGGGTTAACACGTGGTATAAATATGTTCTTTTCTACCAAACCACTTCATTCACATATTCTTTTTGATTAGAAAAATATTAATGGAGGGAAATGAAAAGTGTTTTTGCATAACATTAAACTTGAAAGGGTCACATCTTCCCACCCATAAGAACCTAAAAAAAAATTTAACGCCTTATAAAAAAAACAATTTCATTCCCTTCTTTTTCATTAGAAAAAAATTGTCTGAACCCGGCAACTAATTCACACGCACTACTAGGCATAAATATTACTAGTTTAGACGTATCCGTCGTTGTTCGTTCCCGATTTTTTTTTGTGTGCGATTGCCCAATGTTCATATACCCCAGTCCTTGTTTTCAGACCAAAAATATATTCAGATTTCGCCAATCTGATTTCAGATCTTCTATTATTTCTTATTTCTTATATATGTACTAGCTTGGGAACCCAATTTTCCTTATAAAATTAAACCCACTTAGCTAAATTTGTTAATCCAGACTGAGAAAATTCCCAGGGGTTCCTGTGTTATGATCTAACATCCAAACAAACACCCAGACAAACATTGATTATTGTTTTATATGAATATATTTTTTAAGTTCAAGAACGTACTTAGCACTGCTACGCATAACCTCCTCGGCCTTCTCTGCGTACTTAGCAGGAATCCCGTACCAGGTCTTCGGTTCACCCCAATGCAGGTAGTTTATACTCGGGGTCCAATGGTCCTAAATATTTTATACGTTATTTATTTATTTAATTTGCTGGTTTTATTCCTGGCCCCAGACAATCCCACTTCACAGAACTTCCCCTGTAATATTCATGTTTATAATCTAGATGTATGTATGAGGGGCGTATACAGGGTGTGGGGGAGAGGTAAGGGGGCTGAGTCCCACCACCTAGGGAAGTGAAAATATGGTTTACGAGAGTGAAAGGGGGGGGGTCTAAGATGCCACTGGGGCATTCACATTTTTTATTGCTATTAGAAAGCATATGTAACGAGGAGTGCCGCAGGTGAAAACTTTTGAGGAATGAAAACTTAGAATTTTAAATCTTTCCCTAGGCAAACCAGGACAATCTCAAAATTTGAGAGCTGAAAATTTCGCCTTTTTAATCTCTTTTGAAATCTAAAAAAGTTAGTGAAGCCCCCCAAATAGTAGATTATGTATGTATATTGTTTATTGTAGCGTAATTGCGTAGTCCGTACCTCGACATGCCAGCAGAATGTAGAGAAGCACATACCGACATACAACCATGGAACTTTCATTCCTATACAAGCTTTGCTATAAGAACAAGTCTTATATTTAAAATAAGTTCTATTCCATATAAAACAAGTTTGCTATTTAAAACAAGTTTTCCATTTAAACCAAGTTTTCCATTTAAAACAAGTTTTCGCTTAAAACAAGTTAACCATATAAAACAAGTTAACAATTTTAAACAAGTTTTCCATTTAAAACTAGTTTTCCCTTTAAACAAATGTTCCATTTAAAACAAGTTTTCTATTTTAAACAAGTTTTCTATTAAAACAAGTTTACCATTTAAAACAAGTTTTCCATTTTAAACAAGTTTCAATTTTAAAAAGTTTTCCATTTAAACAAATTTCAATTAAAAGCTAGTTTTCTATTTAAATCAAGTTTTCTATTTTCTTTTTGTATATCAGTCTTTCTCAGTGAGTCAAGATATCATTGTAATTGAAACATAGAATCCGGACCCGGCTTCAAAATATAAGTCCCCGGTTACGGATCCTGATTTTCATAAAAAGAATTATAAATACAAATGACAAATCGTTAAATCTGAGTTCCCACAACCCTGTTTAGGAATCTGATCTAGAAACCTTTTGATCTAAAGGGAATTTGATCTAAGGGTAATCTGATCTAATGAGAATTTAGTTTAAAAAACATGGAAATTAATCTTAATTCTTTTTAGATCCAAGTCCGTACTTTTCGAAATTTTTTGGAATTTGATTTAAAAATGTGGAATCTGATCTAAAATATTCTTTTTCGAATGACATTTTTCATGAACATTAAGTGGGGAATTTCATCTGAATTTTTCTCCAATAATTAGGAATTTGCTCTAAAATATGTAGAATTGGACCTGAAGTATGTAGAATCTGATCTAAAGATGCTATTTTGTTCATTACAGACTCTTAATTCTTCACATTTTAAATATAATTCTACACATTATAGATCAAATTTAGCACATTTTAGACTTAATTCTACATGTTTTAGATCTAATTCAACACTTTTTGGAAACATTTTCATTATTATTCAGTGAGAACAAATTCCACATTTTCCGGAAAAAGTGGGAATTTGATAAAAAAAAAATGTTTTAGATCAAAGTCCAATATAGGTCTGATTCTTTTAGGTCAGATTCCCTTTTTATCAAAAGGGTTATAGATCAAATCCCAGTGCACCCCAACAACCAACAAAAAAGTTCTAATACCTGAGATATCAATATCTATCTGTTTAAGTATCGAGTTTGCAACAACAGGGAGATTATTAAGATTCCATTCGGCCTTAGCATAATCTACATCATCCTCACTGCAGATATTTCAGTTCAATACTTCAGTTAATTTATATTTTATTTAAATATATTTTTCAAGCGACCCTTTATACCTAGATGACAATGCCATATTTACACGGCCAGAGAGCACGGGTTTCAAAAGTTCAAATGTGAATATTTATTTTCTGCGACTTCTAGAAAGTAAATATTAATATTTCTTATATCTAAAACACCTTCCAAAGCAAGTGTTTCACAATTTTAAGTGTTCCTGTAGATTAATAAGAATAAGTCTTGATCAGTCAAAGGTTTAAAGGGTAAATTTGTTGATCAAACATAAACTTTACATTGGAGAGTTACTTTAAATTACGCCTACAGTCCCTTTAATAACAATATTCATATTGGCAATTACCCTTTATTAAAACTATTCTTGTTGGCAATTACCCTTTATTAAAACTATTCTTGTTGGCAATTACCCTTTATTAAAACTATTCTTGTTGGTAATTACCCCTTATTAAAACTATTCTTGTTGGCAATTACCCTTTCTTCAAACTATTCTTGTTGGCAATTATTATTATATTATAACAATCTAAACTATTAAATTACATTATTTCATTCAATCATTAAGATTTAAGATATTTTCCAATCCATTAATTCTATTTGTGCAATTTCCACCCATTTTAAATACCTATAAGATTAATGAAAAAGTTTAGATTTTTTGTTAAAAACATGTTAATTGATTGACCCTAATTAATATTGTCCGGCGTTAGAATTGTTTAACAAGAAAACAATGTTTAACAATTGGATTGAACGGGATTATCTGCCTAAGATGTTTGGATCCCAAGGTTGGGAATCCTGATCCATGATCCATAGTATGCAGATCTGCTCCATATTCAACCATAACATCCTCATCTTCATAATAAACATACTTTTAATGTCAACGTACTTTTAGTGTCTGATGACAACATTTTGAATCACTAACTGTCGTGCAAACTTAAAAGATTTCCATAATGTGGTTTGCCCCCATTGTTGTTTTAAAAATGACAAATAAATATTGGACGTAAAGAGAATTTTAGTTTTATCTGATACAGTGAAATCTGAACAAATTCTAATTATCTCTTGACAATTTTAGAAGCACAAAAAAAGGCAGACCATATTTTAGAATTGCCAGGACTAGGGATTTTTATTAATTGCTGAAATTTTTTTTCAAAGATCAATGACGACTTTCAAAATGTCTCTCAACGTATATAAAAAATTCAGAAAAAAGCAACAACAAAAAAAACATTCTTTAAGGAACTTCTAAGGGGAAAATTTAAAAAAATCCGGTTCTGACCTTTCTTTTAATGTCCTGTCCTGTCCTGTCCTGTCCTGTCCTGTCCTGTCCTGTCCTGTCCTGTCCTGTCCTTTGTACCTATATTTTCTAATATTCTCCAGTATTCCCGTTCCACCAGACTCATAGGTATAAGATGCAGGGGCATATTGAAGTAGTCTGACTTGAACTGGTCCGCCATCTCCCCGAAGCTCTGGAGGGTGTACTCCTTCTGTGCCTGCTCGAACCCGAAGGCCTCCATGGGTTTACTCACCTCGGCTAGTATACACTTGGGACATCTCCAGTCCCCCTAAACATTAGTTTGCTTGTATTTTAATGTTAACAGGGTAAAGAGACTGTACGTGTAATTTTTAGTGAACTTCCATTTATAAGGAAGAATGTCCGATTCACAACAGTACCCTCGGAACCTTTGACTAATCAAGGATGACAAAGATATCCTTCTTAATCTTCTGAACCGCTTGGTTATAGGCTGTTGTTTATTTAAGAAATAGTTTGCAAAAATTAACTTTCGAATGTTTAAAAACCGCTTTAAATGTAAATAGTCTATATTTTCAAGGGACGCAAGTAAGTAACGGATAAGATGTGCTAAGTTCACACTGTACTCAAGCGCAGCGTACACCGGTTTAACACACAGAGCTCTATAAACCTCATTTAACAAATAAACAAAATCTGCGGAGGTGTGTACAGCTTTCCGTAAGTGCTTTATAAGCATCTCCTTAATTTATCCCCTAGTATCCATGCTTTTCTGGCATACACACTGAATCCTAAAATTCAGGCCAGAACTGAACCACTAGATCCCATATAGACCAGGTCAAGTGAAGGAGCTCAAACCTGTTTTTATTGTATTTCAACCTGTCGTTGTACTTCGTCTGTAGGTTGATTGTTAATGATAATCTACTCGATAGACAGTCAAAGGTTTATAGGGTACCGTTGTAAATCGGGCATTGCTATCTTTGCATGGAGGGTCAATAAAAATTACGATTACAGTCCCTTTAATCTTGACTTTTGTTGGCTAAACTTCATCTGAAAGCCTATGGTTTAGTACAATTAAAATAATAGCAAAAAAATGTTGCGGATTTTCATGTCTACTTGTTCCGGTAACCCCGGCCCATGTTTAAAATCATTTTAATTGTTTTAAAAAAAGTTCTAGTGCTGCCCTTCTTGAACAAACCATTCCATACAGGGAATCTGATCTGTAAGAGAGGGATGGGTGCCGGAAGAGGGGGGGTGAATATACCTGCGGTATCTCTGCTAGGGGTGGCATAAGACAGATGGTATGATCTGCAAGAGGGGGAGGGGGTGGGGTGTAATGTACCTGCGGTATCTCTGCTAAGGGTGGCATAAGACAGAAGGTATGATATGAATCGTCACAACCATCACAGAGCAACATTTTCTCTTCAACATCGCCTTTTCCACAGTTCTTAACAGTTAATTCACTTTTTTATCTTTCTATATAATAAAGCTCTTCGCTCATATATATTTATATGTTAGCTATAGCTGCCCAAACAGCTTGACCGAATAGGCTGAACTTTTATGTTGGAACTCATGGGTTCCCGGGGAGTAAAAAAGGCTAAAAATCGATATTATTTTTTATCAAATTTTTTAAAATTAAAAATTTTATTTTCATGTAAATTCAAAAATAAAAATTCCACAGGCACTTCAGCTAGTAATTTATAAAAATGGCGGGTAACAAAATATATATAATAATGATATCTATCTATCTTGTTTCAACTTCAAGATCAAATAATATTTAATAATAAAGTTACCTGACACATATACTTAGCGAGTGGATCATATTCAAAGTTTAGTTTAACTCCTCTTGTTTTCTCCATTTTATCCTGGGTTGGCATTCCTGGCAGCTTAGGACCAGCACCATAGAACTGTAACCTAAAATAAAATACATTAATTAACTAACAGGATGATTGTTGATGTACTTATAAATAATAAATCAATGTTCTTCTATCCGAAACTGTGAGTTGTGAATTTTAATAATAAACCATTTTGGTGATTCCGCTACAAAACCTGAATTAAAAATTCAAGATGCTCTTTTGTTTATTTCTCGAATTTTTTACTATTTACGAAGTCTTCCTTATTGTTCATTTTAATACTAAAAAAAAATTAAATATCGTTTATTTATGTCTGGTATTTTTCTCTTTTTTTTAGGGATGCAATTTCTACTACCTGGCTAGCTCCTTGGAGAACATCTTGGAATCGTCTTCCGCCTTCTCCGTCTTGGACATTTTCGCATTCATCCGCCCCTTCTTCTCCTCCTTCAACTGCTTCTCCAGCTCCTGCCGCTGCCTTTCCGACTCATCCTTGGCTTTAGCCGCCTCCTCTTTCTCGAATATATCCAGGGGGTTGAGGATCCTCTCATAGTGAGACTTCAGTAGTGCTCCTATCTTAGCAGCGTTGAGAGGACTGTATCCCATTGTGGTGGCAACTGCTCCCCATTTCTTCTCGGAGGTTACCTTCGCCATCCCACCGGCCTTGAGGACATACTTCTTCAAGGTGAACAGGTCGAGGGCTCTCTTCTCAACAATAGGAATCTAAATATTTCAGGGTTTAAAAATTTACATCCTTCAAGAAACAAAACGAGAATAAAACCAATTTAAAACTGTTATTTATTTTATTTTATCTTCTATTATTCGACATAAAAACTCCTTAACATTTTATTTTTACCTTTAATGAAGATCCTTGCAGCTCCCAAAACTTTGCAACTTGATCAAGAAAATTCAGCTTTATCCTATAATATTTTAACTACAAAAACTAAGAATAATTTGCAGAGGGGCGAAAATGTTTGAATGGATAATCCAGTTAAAAAAAAAAGAAATAAGATTTTAATGTTCAGGAACGTATCTACTATAAAGTGTTTTTACTCAGGGTGGGTCACGCTAATGTTAATACTATGGACGGATCCAAGGTTCTTAAAAACAATACTTTGTAATAAAAATACTGGACCTTGTGTGAGCTTCCAATTCGTTTAATCGTTGAATCCTGGGGGTGAACTTGAGTTTATCAATATCCACAGCAAACTGGGGTTTCCAATCCTCAGGAGGAACAATCTTACAGATACCATAGTTCTCTGCTATCTTCCTAAATATAGAACAAACTTGGTCAATAATAAATCAAGAGATATCTGCAACTCCTCACCAAAAAGAAGAATAACTCCACTTAAATTAAACAAAGACTATCAAGGACAAAATTGTGTCCTACATATAACTAATTTAAGCATTTCTGTGTGTTTTTATCCAACATATAGACAAATCTGCTAAACCATTATTGACTCTAGAGAAACAGACTAATCAAAAAAAATGTATTCCTAATTTTTTTACGAGAAATTTTACTTGCTAAAACATAAAAACAGTGAAATCTAATAATAAATGTAATTCTTTTTAAAGTGTACACAAGAAATAGTTTTAAAGACGGGAAAAATTAAAACTATTTCAAGAAAGAGATATGCGAAGCGTCCAGGAAGCCTACTACGACAATAAACTCCCTTAAAGTTCGCCTTAAAGTTCACAAACCTTATCTTATCGAAGTATGCCAGGGCATCCTTGAACTCCTCTGGTTTAGGCGAGAACACTGGGGCCTCAGAGGGAGGGATAAAATCATAATCATATTCATGATGAGATGTCGTCATTCTTAATCTTTACAACTTTAAGATCAAACCATTTTACAATTATCTGAAATAGAGTTTTATGTACAATAATATTAGGAATTAACTAGTCAGTTCATGGGGATCCGGATTCGATGGATTTCCTTTTTGTTTTAACTGGAAAAATCCGAAATCATTGGATTGATTTTGAACAGAGCGGAGCAAGAATACGGATCCATTGGATTAATTTTCTTACAAAACTAAACGATCCGGATCGGCATTAAAAAAATATATCATCACCATAGTAATAATTTTAGTCATGTACAAAATTGATAGGAGGGGGAGGGGTCCAAAAATCGTTCTCTAGGACAGACTCTAGATTTAGAATTAAGAGTAAAACTTAACTCATTACGTCATGCCTCCATAAGCTTTTACAAATCATTAGAGATGCCTGCAGTCAGACAGTGCAGTCTACAATACCGGCTGGAGAATAATTTAAAAATTTAATTATACAAGAACTAATCGACAAATAATGACGTACTATTGCTAACAAAGTAATACATTATTCAAGCTAATAAATACTTAAGTGTTTCCAATAACATGACTTAACCTTTTAACAATTTGTTTCACATCTTTTCTTAGAAACTTTATTGATTGATTTAAGTTTCATATTTACGAAATTATTTGGTTTGGTTTGAAATCTTTGAATCAACACCGCAGTAACTTTCTCAAAAGGGGCGCTTAATCTAATAAGTGAGTGCAGACGATTGTGTCGTTCATCAGTTTATCCCGCGTAATTTTCAACATAGAAAAAAATATCAAATTGTATAGGTAGATGCGCTTTCAATTCAAAATTGTATTTTCATTGGGTAATCCACAAAAAAGTAATTTACTCTCCAATGTCGTCTTCCTTTCCGATTATTAAACTGAACATTTCTTCAAATCATAACATTTGATACTTAACATTAAAACATATCAATCGTGTTTTTCCATTCAAACACTTTTCTAAACAACGGCAAGTGTTATACAATTATGGGGGGATGAACTGATGCATGTCAGGGATTTCCCAAAATGAAGGTTAAAGTCTCTAAAGTTAAGAAGAAAGGAGTCGTGATGCTACAGTACTACCCTGAGGATGAGGCTGTAAAGAAGACTTAAAATAAGTTAATAACGATCAATCCTGAATATAGTCTTTTAATGGCTATTCAGTGATTTGACAAAGAAAGAAACAAGTTGAAGGTTGCAGGAAATAATATGAGTATAAGGAAAGCGTCATCCTTTGTGGGAAATGCCAATACTAACTGGGTCCGGTAAATGTGCATTTTTCCTCACAGCAGAATTCATCTAAATAAATTAATATCATATTTACTGCAACGTACCCTAAGGTTAGGAGTTTGTACGGAGAAACTATACCCAGAAATAAAGTACAAATCAAACCATATAGCCAAAATATATAACCATTTTTATCAAAAAAATTACCATCTTTTGATTGAAAATACAACGAACTTTTTTAACTAAAATTAAAACAAACCATTTTTCAACCAAAAATATAAACATTTTCTTAATCAAAAATATTTTCACGTAAAAATTATTAAGATTGAACAAACATTCAAACCATTATTTTCATTCTAAAGGCTTTGAGCGTTTACATATAGATATTTTATTTTATGGATGTTTGATCCGAATCTGGTATTTTATGCTTTTTCTTATATAATACTTTTGAACAATCTACATTTTTCATAAATAATTTGTGTTTAACTATCTAACTTTAACAAAAATGGTTTTAATGCTTACATTTTTGCGAACAATAGGTGTCAAAAATACTTTTAGTCCTTATAAAAAATGGTTATATTTTTGGTTAAAATATGGTTTTATTTTTGGTTTAAAAAACGGTTATATTTTAGGTTTGTTATATTTTTGATTAAAATATGGTTGAAAATGGTATACTTTTGATTTAATACAGTTATATTTTTGTTAACAATGGTTACAAGTTTGCAAAAAAATATTGGAACGGTTATATTTTTGGTCGAAAATGGTTTTAATTTTAGTCGAAAATGATAAGATTTTTTTAAGTCAAAAATGTTTTATATTTTTAGTCAAAAAAGATGATATATTTACTACTTAATTGAAAATGGTTATATTTTTGGTCAAAAAATTGTTAATTTTGAGTCGAACATAATTAGATTTTAAATGAAAATTAGTTCTTTTTTTGGTCGAAAATGTTATTGTTTTGTCAAAAATCGTTGTTTTAGTCAAAAATTGGCTATATTTTTGGTCGAAAAAGTTTATATTTTTAAGTCACAAATGGTTTTATTTTTAGTTGAAAATTGTTATATTTTTGGTTAAAAAAAAGTCAAAAAAGGTTATTAATAATTAAAAACATTGGTAATATTTTAATTTGAAAAGGGTGAAAAAATGTGAAAATTCAGAGGTGACCCCGGAATCTTTTAATTCTTTGCTAGCATAAATGGTTAATTTATTCCTTTCTGTTCAAATCCTTTAAATTTTCCTTAAAAAGGACAAAATTTTCTTCGTGGGTAACTCTGTATTATGAATTCACATACCTGTAGTCGGAAAGGCCAAGATTTCTTATATCTCAGAAAAGACTGGAAACTTTGTAAACCATCCTCAAATAAATTGTTTCTGTTCTCTGATTTAACATTATCTCTAAAACATAAAAAACATCTTTATTTTTTACCTCCTTAGATGTCAGGTTCAGATTTTACATAAACTTCTTGTTTAATAAATCCTTCTTGTTTCTCTAGTTTCACAATATTCTCTACATCCTCCTTTATCCTCTTAGCATGGACTCCAGTCTGATCCATATCCTTCCTCTTGTTCTCGAACTTGTGTGCACTCTTATAATGACCAAGAAGTTGAAACTTAGAGCCAACATATCCACATTGATTGCATTGATGCCCACCAATACCATGTTTGTCCAGCTGGTGTTGTTTTAGATCTTGTAACTCAGCCCCAATGTAATTGCATTGATTACACTCATGCCCTCTGTATATCTTCAGCATTTTCTGAATAGCGCCCAAAAGATTACGTAAACGATAAGGATACCAGCCAATGCTATAGTTTGGTTTATATAACTCAGCTCCAACATAATTATATTCATCGCAAGGATCCACTCCAGTACCATGTTTGTCCCGCTTGTGTTGTTCCAGATGTTTCAACTCGGCACCAACGTATCCACATTGATCACAAGGATGCCCTCCAATACCATGTTTGTCCAGCTTGTGTTGTTCCAGATGTTTTAACTCAGCACCAACGTATTCACATTGATCACAAGGATGCCCTCCAATACCATGTTGGTCCCACTTGTGTTGTTCTAGATGTTGTATCCTAGAGCCAACGTATTCACATTGATCACAAGGATGCCCTCCAATACCATGTTGGTCCAGCTTGAAATCTTCTACAATCTGTTGTTCTCCTTCTTTACATTTAGATGTATCTGGATACTCTGATTCCATCTTTATCTCCTTACACTCCTCCAGGTTCTCTTCTCTAGGATTCTGGTGATTTGCACTTTCATCTTCTTCAGTTTTAGCTCCAGGTTCTTCTAAAAATATAACCATATAATAATCTACCCTCTACCCACATGTGTCCTTAACTATGATTAAAAAAAAAAGTTCCAGCATAAGTTACTAAATATTTTTTGTTCATATACATCCAAAGATGAAATCCTGCAAGTTTCAAAATCCTAGCCGTACGTCCTGAGATTTTAAGCCAATTTTTATAATTTTTGCTTAAACTGTTAGACGCCGTCATATGTATTTTTTTAAACGATCATATCAAATGCTTTAAAAATTGTTCCAGTCATTTTCTGGACCCTTAAAACATATATCTAGACCTTCGAAAAGTCAAAATCGGTTTAAAACTAAGACATTTAAACCCCTAAATGGTGAATCTTTGCTCTCCTCACAATTTAAAACATAATTAACAAAAATATGTTTATTTGTGCCTGGAATTGTAAAAAACAACACACTTAAGGAGATTGTTAGAATACTCCTTATTGATCATCTCCCTCTTGTAACCTGCTCCAGTCCAAGGCTTGGTAAAGTCTTTGTGTACGGCCTCTGAGGCCTGTTCAGAGTGACGGCCTAATCCTAGTCCATCATTTTGACGCACAAAAAAGTCTTCTATGTGGTCGAGGACAGCATGGACTTTGGGGGTGACACTGATTCCCAATAGTTTGTAGGATGCCTCAAACTCTTTGATTGCCACTCTGTAGTCAGACTTTACTTCCTTTCCAAAGCACATGTCTTTGATGGTCTTGAAGTCTTTGAGAACTTTGACAACCTGTTAAACTTCATTGTTTTCTTTTGGTAACTATCTTCTCCAACTTGCAAGCTTTGGACTGGAGCAGGTTACAAGAGGGAGATGATCAATAAGAAGTATTCTAACAATCTCCTTAAGTGTGTTGTTGTTTACAATTCCAGGCACAAATAAACATATTTTTGTTAATTATGTTTTAAATTGTGAGGAGAGCAAAGATTTACCATTTAGGGGTTTAAATGTCTTAATTTTAAACCGATTTTGACTTTTCGAAGGTCTAGATATATGTTTTAAGGAACCAGAAAATGACTAGAACAATTTTTAAAGCATTTGATATGATCGTTTAAAAAAATACATATGACGGCGTCTAACAGTTTAAGCAAAAATTATAAAAATTGGCTTAAAATCTCAGGACGTACGGCTAGGATTTTGAAACTTGCAGGATTTAATCTTTGGATGTATATGAACAAAAAATATTTAGTAACTTATGCTGGAACTTTTTTTTTTTAAATCATAGTTAAGGACACATGTGTACCCTCTACCCTCTACCCTCTACCATCTACCATCTACCATCTACCATCTACCATCTACCATCTACCATCTACCATCTACCATCTATCTACAATCTACAATCTACAATCTACAATCTACATATTAACGGGAAAAAGAAATCTATAAAATATAAAATTTCACCTTTGATATAACTAATCATCATGTCAGTTTTGACAGTTTGATCTTTAAGCATGTTATTGGAGTCCATACTAAATTGAACAGCATTGAGCTCATTAACAATAACCTTCTGCTCCTCTCCTTCCTTTTGTTTCATCAGGTTGATTTCAGACATTCTCTTCTAAATAAACATTAAATAACAACAAATAAAAAATAAATATTTTTAAGTAAAATGGAGAATTAAAGTATAAAAAAACATATATCTAAAGTTTGAATTAAAAAATATTTCTAGGCTAAAATTTGACTTAGAGTCCTGTTGTGACCAATGCATACATGTAGATTAATTAATACCGGTCCTTGAAGTTCAGTGTTTGGATCAATAGTATTTGATCTTATTTGTATACACAATAACTAACATAAAATAACATCTATAGTTCAGATTATGAAAGATATTCTCAAAAATTGTTTCAACTGTTAATTTTACAAATTCAGAATAATTTTTTTTACCGTCTAATTGTCTAATATCTAAAACTCCTTATGCATAATAAATATTGGAATTCACATACCTGTAATTGTAGAGCTACTTCATGGAACTGATACAAGAAATCTAGAAAACCTTCCTCAAATTCATTGCGTACTTATCATTGTCTCTAAAAATAAATAAAATCTTTTTTAATAAACGAGGCAGTAGGCACACTCTCTGTAGATGCCAGGTTCAGATTTAATTCAAATGAACTTCTTGCTTAATGAATTCCTCTTTTACTACTTTCACAAAATTCACATTATTCGTTTAGTCTTCCTCTAATTGCTCTTACACTTGTATAAACTCTTGTGTTGTTTTAGATGTTGTAATTCAGGGCCAACATATTCACATTGATCACAAGCATGGCTTCCAATACCATGTTTGTACATTTGGTATTGTTTTAGCATCAAAGTAATTGTATTGATTACAACTATGGAGGAATTTCCCAAATGCCTGGGTAGTGGGTATCTAGGAAGTTTCCCAAATACCTACAGATATTTGAGGGTGGTATATTTTTAAGATTTTGGAAATTTCTCAAATGACTGGAAATTTCCAAGATACCCAGGCATTTGGGGAATTCCCCAAATACCCAGAAATTTGAGGAATTTCCCAAATACCTAGGTTTTTGGAAAACTCCCCAAATATCCAGTTATTCGGTAAGGGGGTTACTTTATATACATAGATTAATCACTAATATAGTCTCTTTATTAGTCCGCCAATTTAGACACCATTTAATTTCCTTGTTAGACAAACATTAGGCATACCAGGGACGTATACAAATAGAAATAACATTTACCTCTTATAACCTAATAACCCGCATTGCGCACATATTTAACAAGATTGCCCCCCCCCCTTGAATTAAATTAAAAAATATTTATTTGTAGAAAGTCGAAAAAAAAAACTCCCACTTATTAGCAATCTAAAATGACGAATTGATTAAGTAAGGAAGGATCGAGGTACGAATAATACTGATAAATAACAAACTTCAAACATTTTCATATGTTTCCAATAGTGATTGATTTAAATGTTTGCAATATTTACGAGGTAGATTTGATTTCTATCATTGTTCGAGTTAGTTGTGTAGTTAGTTATGTTTCAAAGTACAGGGTTACCCACAAAGGATGAGACTGTAAAGAAACCGAAAACTCTTAAAATATGACGATCCCAAGGTTAGATTATATATTCTGCCTTAGATATAGTAATATAATGGCTTATGTAATGATTTGGGAAATAAACAAAAAAGTTTACAGTTGCAGGGAATCGTGAATATAAGAAAACAGACAGAATAAATTCTATTCAATCGTCTCTGAATTCTCATCCTTTGTGGGTAACCCTGTAGATAATTTTAAATGGTTTTCTTAATATCGTCTTCAATTTTAGTCCAGGCGTCTCCATGCATACTTCTCTGAGTTTCAGATTCCTTAAAAATTAACATTTAAATTATTAAATTAATATACACGCTGTAGTGCATGAGGACACACCTCCCTTGCATGTAAACACCTCCCCTAAAGTTTTAACCATTTCAACACAATGTTAGACATAAAAAGCCATGTTAAAACATTAAAACTTATAAGTTGACATATATAAAATGTATTTAAAGGGGGTAAAGGCAAAAAAGTTATTTACTCTCGAATGTCGTCTTCCCTTTAAATTATCAAAGTTAATATTTTATCAAGACAAAGATAATTTTTAATGTTTTTTTCGATCAAAATAAATATCGAAAAATGTTATAACATTGCCTTTTAAAACTTTAGGGGGAGTTCGCTCCATGCAAGACACCGGGATTAACTTACAATTTTCATGCATCAATCTAATTTTACTAATACTGAATAACATGTCAGATTTGTCAGATAGATCCTTCAGCATGGATTCTTCCAGTGAATGAAGCATGTTCATGTAATCGATAATTTGCTGTGCAGCCTGCAGAGTTCAAACTAGGAATTTTGTCAGACCAAATAATCTAAAGTTGAAACATCAATTCAGGTTGCAAAGATATCGAAACTAGAAATTGTGAGTTTGTGGCATAATCTTTATCAATTATTTCAAATTACTAAAAATAAAAAATTAAATATCTAAAACTAGCTAAAATGTATTTGTAATATTATTTGTGTTAATATTAAAAAAATTTAAATAATATCTAATTCAGGAGAACTTTAAAAAAAAATGAAATTCTAAAAATATTAAATCAACTTTAATCAAAATTGTTCAGCATTCTATTTGATAAATGCAGAATAATTTTTTGTTAAAGTTCTTAATTCTAAAAAAATATTAATGTACCTGTAGTTGTAGAGCTCCCCATATATTGGAACTAAAACGAGATCTAGAAAAACATCCTCAAAACAACTGTGTCTATTCTCTGCTGTAACATTTTTTCTGAAAAATAAAAAACATTTATCACAACAAACTTCATTTAGATGCCAGGTTGTGTTGGTTAGATGTTGTAAGTTAAGCGAAAACATGTTAACTAATATGGACTCCATGCATGATTAACTGGTGCTTCTTCAGTTGTTTAATACTACTGCCCTTAAAAGCACATTGATCACAAGGATGCCCTCCAATATCATGTATACTCAGCTCGTGATGTTTAAGTTCTTCTACTTTTGCGCAAACATAGTCACATTGATTGCAAGGATGCATTACAATATGTTTTCTCAATTTGTGTTTTTGTAGATGTAGTATTTCAATGCCAACATAATCACATTGATCACAAGGATGCCCTCCATTACAGTGTTTGCTTAGCTTGTGTTGTTTTAGATCTTGAATCTCAGTGCCAATGTAATTACATTGATCACAAGGATATTTTCCAATACCATGTTTCTCCAGCTGGTGATTTCTTAGATCTTGTAACTTGGCGCCAACGTACTTACATTGATCGCAAGTATGTCCATGTGCGCGCAACTGGTGTCGTTTTATATCATTTAACATGGCACCAACGTAATCACACTGATCACAAAGATGGCCTCCAATATTATGTATGCTCAGCGTACTATACTACCAATACCATGAATTCTAAGCAAGTGTTGCCTTAAATGATTCTCACAGGCTCCCTCGAAATCACAATAAGGACAAGGATGCCACTCAATACCAAGATTTCTCAACCTCTCCTTCTTTGCTCGTTTCTCACTGGCGCTCTTAAAATCACAATCTCTGATAGAACGCCCGCTGATAATCAATGCCTTCCTCTTGTCACTCCGTAATATTCTTGTACTGGCTTTTTTAGGTTTCTGAGTGCTACCCTGATAAAAGTGACCAAAAGAATTCCCACCAGTACAAATTTCCCTACTCCTGTGATGCTGGGATAGTTAATGACTGGTGCCGTGAGAAAAGTGGCCAAAAGGATACCCCCCAGTACCATTTCCTCTACTATTAAGATGTACTATTGGTTTCTGGCTGGCGCCCTGATAATAATAATCACCACAGTACCCCTCAATACCATGTTCTCTACTCATGTGGTTCTGGGAAAGTTTCTGACTGGCGCCCTGATAATAATTATCACCACGATACCCCTCAATACCATGTTTTCTACTCCTATGATTCTGGGAAAATTTCTGACTGGTGGCCTGATACAAATAATCACCACGGTACCCCTCAATACCATGTTCTCTACTCATGTGGTTCTGGGAAAGTTTCTGACTGGCGCCCTGATAATAATTATCACCACGATACCCCTCAATACCATGTTCTCTACTCCTTTGATTCTGGGAAAGTTTCTGACTAGTGGCCTGATACAAATAATCACCACGGTACCCCTCAATACCATGTTCTCTACTCATGTGGTTCTGGGAAAGTTTCTGACTGGCGCCCTGATAATAATGATCACCATGGTACCCCTCAATACCATGTTCTCTAAAAGTGGGATTTACTAATGGTTTCTGGCTGGTGCCCTGATTATAATGATCCCCATTGTACCCCGCCATAACATGTTCTCTACTCATGTGGTTTTGTAAAAGTTTCTGGCTGGGGCCCTGATAATAACATTGATCACAAGGGTAGTCCACAATACCATGAATCCATATCTTGTGCTGGTTTAATAATGATTCGTAAGTACTCTCATAAGAACATAGATCACACGAATATCTCATTCCTTGAGACTTGCTTGCATCATGATTGGAGTCAGTCCCTACAGCCACACTCTCACTGGTTAATTCTAAAACAAGTAAACGAATTAATTAATTAACTAATTATCAAGTACATTGATATGACCAGGCTAAAGTAGGTCCAAGTATAATTATCAGGCCTATACGGCGAAGAAAATGTTGGACTGGAATTGGTATGTGCATAATTTAGATTAATGTGATGTGAAGACCTTTTATTACAGTGAGTGTTCGCGAAAAATGAATATATAGGGTATAGGCTTACTGCGATAAATAATCGCTTTTGATCGCTTCTAATCTTACCTCTATCTGTTGCATTTATAAGGAGAAAATTGTATAAAGTTAATATTTCATAATATTTGTTATTTGTTTTATATACAATGCACTTACAACGACGTTTTTTCCTGCTAGGTGTCTCTGCCACCTATATTCATTAAAAGCATCAAGAGCAGACACCTAGCGGCCTACTATTTTGGCGTTTTAAGTGCATTGTATACAACAAATAAAACATATTGTGATATATTAACAAAATACGAATGAGTCGAAAAAAATCGATGACTGTAGGTTGTAATGTCTGAATGATTTGTTTGAAATTAAATTGATTTTTTACGATCCGAGTCGTATGTTGCAACTTTCTCAATTTGTATGGACGTTACGTTCTCCAGTATAAGTCGTTATTAACTATTTTCTCCTTATAGACGCAAGAGATAGAAATAAGATTAGTAGCGATTAAAAGCGCTTATTTTTCGCCGTAAGCCTATACCTCCTTTCATTTTAGGCGAAAACTTCCTTTAAAGGAAAAAATTATCTCACCTGTTATTTCTTCCTCTGGTTCTTTTTTAACAATGTTCTTCAGATCATCTACTATCAGGTCTTCGACTTCTTCTTTAAAATCAGTTGCCTCTGTATACTCTGATTTAATTTTACATTCATCTGCAATCTGTTCTTTGACATCTTCTTTGATATAAGATACCTCCGTATACTCCTTCCAGTTCCATTCCCCCCCAATCTGTTCTTTGACATCTTCTTTGATATAAGATACCTCTGTATACTCCTTCCAGTTCCATTTCTCCCCAATCTGTTCTTTGACATCTTCTTTGAAATCAGATACCTCCGTATACTCCTTCCAGTTCCATTCCTCCCCAATCTGTTCTTTGACATCTTCTTTGAAATCAGATACCTCTGTATACTCCTTCCAGTTCCATTTCTCCCCAATCTGTTCTTTGACATCTTCTTTGAAATCAGATACCTCCGTATACTCCTTCCAGTTCCATTCCTCCCCAATCTGTTCTTTGACATCTTCTTTGAAATCAGATACCTCTGTATATTCCTTCCAGTTCCATTCCCCTCCCAATCTGTTCTTTGACATCTTCTTTGAATTCAGATACCTCCGTATATTCCTTCCAGTTCAATTCCTCTCCAATCTGTTCTTTGACTTTTTCTTTGAAATCAGATACCTCCGTATACTCCTTCCAGTTCCATTCCTCCCCAATCTGGTCTTTGACTTTTTCTTTGAAATCAGATACCTCCGTATATTCCTTCCAGTTCCATTCCCCCCCAATCTGTTCTTTGACATCTTCTTTGAAATCAGATACCTCCGTATACTCCTTCCAGTTCAATTCCTCCCCAATCTGTTCTTTGACTTTTTCTTTGAAATCAGATACCTCCGTATACTCTGATTTAATCTCCCATTTCTCCACAATCTGGTCTTTGACATCTTCTTTATAATCAGATTCCTCAATATACTCTGAATCTATATTTATATTCTTCCAGTCCTCCAGGAATTTTTCTTCAGGATTCTTAAGTTTCGTACTTTCATTACTTCGAACTCTGGGATATTCTAAATATACAAGTATACAATTAAAAGAATGTTCATTCAAAAACAAACCAAATAAAGGTCTCCAATTATAAACCAAAGTTATAAGCTTGTCGATATAGTGGTCTTACTTTAAAATCAAAATTTGCCAGAGAGTTTAAAATTTTGTAGACTAACATATGTTCGATGTTCATGGAACCTCACAAATATTGTATGAAAGAAAAGTGAACGAGATAAAATAATCTGTATACATCTTTTACCTTATAATAAGCCATACGAAATACAATACTAGTTCACCTTTAATAATACTGAGTAACATGTCAGATTTGTCAGATAGATCCTTAAGCATGGATTCATCCAGTGAATGAAGCATGTTCACGTAATCGATGCTTTGCTGTGCAGCCTGGGGCTCATCATCAACCCCATTCTTCTCCTCTCCTTCCTTCTGTTTTATCAGGTTAATTTCAGACATTCTAACTGAAAATATACATTAAATAGATAAATATTAGACTTTAAAATTCAAATGTATCAAATGCAGAAGATTAAAGTTTAACATACAAGAATCAAAGTGGAGTATACAAACGACCAAAGTTTTGCACAAAAGAAATAAGAAACCACAGTGGAGTTTAAAAAGAATCAAAGCATCAAGTGTAAAAGAAATTGTACGGTGGTAGGCGATTATATCAATATAATAAAGACGACTTTTGATTTCAATTTTGATTTATATCCAGCTTTAAACAGCATGAATAAACAAAACATGGAAACAAAGAGAAGCTGTAAATTAAAAAATCTTCTCTTTAATTACTTGTCGACTTGTAATTCGAAGAAAGCTTGTTAACAATTAAAACTTAAATAAAAAAGTAGTCTTCATTATATTGATATTATCGCCTACCACGTAGTTCAGTTTAAAAGGAATCAATGTGTAGAATAAAAGGAATCGAAATGGAACAAAAAAGTCAAAGCGAAGTATAAAAGAAATTGAAGTAGAGTAAAAAAGAAGTCAAAGTGAAGTATAGAAGAAACTGTATGTTAGTGTAAAAGGAATCAAAGTAGAGTATAAAAGGAATCAAAGTGCAGTATAAAAGGAATCAAAGAGGAGTATAAAAGGAATCAAAGTGGAGTATAACAGGAATCAAAATGGAGTATAAAAGAAATAAAAGGAATCAAAGTGGTGTATAAAAGATATTAAGGTTAGTATAAATAATATTCGTCGAATCTGAACCTGATCCTAGCCTTGAACCTAAACCTTTTCATGAACCTGAACCTAGCTTCGAACCTGAACCTGTTCATGAACCTGAACCGGAACCCAGCCTTGAACCTGAGCCTGATCATGAACCTGAACCTAGCCCTGAATCTAAACTAGAACCTAGCCTTGAACCTGAACCTGACCCCGAGCATGAGACAGAATCTGAGAGATATTTTCGAATCTTAAAATCTTTAAAATATCATTGCGATTTTGTAGAAAATCTTAGAACTTAAAAACATGTAATGTGCTATAATTTTCTGCGATAATTAAAACCCGATATATTATATATTTAAATGTATTCATAGAAAATAACAAATATTTAGATCTTAAAAGGTTAGTATTAAGAAATAAAACTAACTTGAAAACAATCAAAACTCAATTAAATTTAATAATGTATCAGATATATTATATATTTTTATATATATATATATATATGAACTGATATGATGAACTGATATGAACTGATGATTGCATAAAAGCATGAAACAATTTGTTTATGAATAAAATATATATGTGTATATATATACATATTCTTTGCTTGTCTGTCTGTTTGCAAGGTTTCTGGATTATCAGAATTTCAAAAATTTGCCTCCAATAATTTTGATTTTTATAAAATTTTGAAAACCCACGAAAAAATAATTTTAAACCAACGAATTTTTTTATTGTTTTATAATGTATACAAAACGAAAATGTTTACAGATAGAGAAACTGAAATTGAAGATGGGGCTAGTATCTATATATATACTTTGCTTGTTTGTTTGCTTGTAACCGATAAACGTCAAAATGGCAAAACTGATCGGGCCCAACTTTGATGTGGAGCCTCAAATGACCCCAGGGAAGATTTAAGGATACTCAGAATTAGAAAAAATTGTCTCCAAAGCTTTTCGATTTCCGTAAAATTTTGAAAATGCATGAACAAATATTTGTAAATTCGCTTTTTTTATGGTTTTATTACGACTTTGTGGTTCCATTGCTCCATTAATTTTGATTTTACGCACAAGTTTAAGAAAAAAAAATTATTTGGTTAAATAATATGAATTCAAAACATTTTTGTTCTTTTCAATAGCTCTTCAATAAAAGAAGTTATGACAAAAACAAACAAGATATTACGTGCATTTTACTTTAGTTTGACGTGAAAGAAAAGATGCTCACAGATGGAACAACATTAAAAGTTGAATTAGTAGATGGACTCGATGGACGCAACTTAAAATTGAAAGAAATTTTAAAATGTTCATTAAATTCAACTCAAATGCAAAATGTCTGTATAATTTGGAGAGAAATAGTGTATTCTAATTTCTTATCAAAACAAACATTCAATTTAAAAAGTTCATTGACTATTGTTATAAAAGAGGTTTTGTTCTACTAATAAGAAAAAAGTTTTTAATTATTTCCATGCTTAATAATACTGACAGAAAGATATAAAATACTGTTTCAAAATCTTTTACATGATCCTGCAATGTATGGATTTTTTGAACACTAAGTTATTTTTATCATAAAATTGATCACAATGAAAACGAGTTTCGATGAGAATTCCGCTAAATTTTAATTTACAGGCATTAAAAAACTCAAATCAGTAAAAAGAACATTTTCAAACTAGATGTTATGCAGAAGTAACTATCACATTTCTAAAATGTAGTCTGCCTTCATTGTTCTTTTAATATTACCGGAGATATGAAGAATTTTCTGAAGAGTTTGACGATTTTGGTTTTATTTAATACAATTGAAATCTGTAGAATAGTAAACACAATTGTTTTTCAATTAATTGGAATATTTTATTTAAATTCACTGTTTTTTTATATAAAAACTTCTCAGAGATGTGCTAGAGGTGTATTTTCAAAACACTAGACAACACAAATAAAAGTTTGACACGGGTGTATTAAAACACTAGACAACACAAATAAAACTAGTGTATTTATTTCAGATATGTTTTGCAGATTCATTTTTAGGAAACGTATTAACATTAATGATTAAAATAATAAATATTTGCATTGGCCGAAAAAAATAAATGTGAACATAAATTGTTCACTTTTTAGAATAGGCTTTCAAGACGCTTTGCGCCCATCAATTCTATTTCAATTGTAAAACAACTCGGATTTTATGATAAATTTCGAGGATTTTCAAAATTTCATGAAAATCAAAATTTGTTGGAGCTATTTTTTAATTTTGTTTATCCATAAACCTTTCCTGGGATCATTTGACGTCCCACACAAAATTTGACGCAGGCGCGCAACTAGACATTCAGCTAGAACAGGCGTGAAAATGCACAAAAAACGTGATATGAACACAAAGAAGTACACAATTTTACCATTAAAACAACACAATTACAGTAAAGTTGATTAAACTGGGTCAATTCCAACAAGTGTCTTTAATAAACATTTTTAAAACAGTTCTGTGAGGGGGGCCGGAGGAGGGGTCTTGGGCCGAGGTGGGTTAGTCAGATCACAACATATAACTCAGCAATAACGCTCATTTATTGAATAAAGTTTTAAATTGAACTAAATTTTGATAAACAATACTGTACTCAAGGGTTTGTTGTAAACATCAATGGTGGCTTAAAAGTATTCTATACTTCCTACCAAGACACATATTTACACTATAAACAGGAACGCCCAGTCGCCCAAGGAGAATTGATTAAGGAGGGGGCAATAGGGTTTCCGTACACTTTGCTTTGACGTTTTTGAACTGCTGGAGAACTAGTTTTTGCGTAACAACAATAATAAAGATTGTAAACAATAACACAAATGATAAACAGACATTTGGTGCATCTCTGGCGTTAGATGAAGATTCACCGTATACTAACTCATTTTTGTTTACATTAGATCGGCTGCCTTTATAATTGTTGTTACGCAAAAACTAGTTCTCCAGCAGTAAAAAAACGTCACAGCAAAGTGTACGGAAACCCTATTGCCCCCTCCTTGTATTCAATTCTCCTTGGGAACGCCCAACTCTGATATACGCAATACGCATATTATGTACTGTACTGTGGGAGGAATGTAAACAAACCCAGTGCCCTCACAGAAGTTGAAGGGAAAGGACTAAATCAAGCTAGAGCAAATACATATGATTTTTGGCTTTCTGATCAATATGGAAAATACAATATACATATATTCTTATTCCACCCCCTGGGCCCCTTTCCATCAAAAATATTGCGTTGCCCATGAATTCTTGTTTTGATCTCCTCCCACTACAGTACACAGATTTGACGCATCAAATATGGCAGTCTATATATTTCTTGCTTCCTTTGTACCATCCCATACCTATGAGACTCATAAGACCCGATTTCTCAAATGTTACCGTACATTACCACCCCCTGAGAAATAATTTAAACTAAATATTAAAGAGATAAATGTTGAGCAAAAAGGAATCAAATTGAAGTAAAAAAAGAAATCAAAATAACTTTTTAATCCGTAATCAAAGGTTCATTGAAAAACAAAAACTTTCATCTTAAAATGTTTTCCTTTATTTCAGACACAATTTTTTATGGGCCTTAAACGCTCCTAAACATCAACAATTTTAGTTATATTAGAAGACATTTTAAAAAAGCTTCGCGCCGCAAAACTTCTGGAATTTTGTTAGCTCAAGAAAATTGACAAGTGTAATTCCATGATTGAGATAATTACTGAGAAGGGAGGTCGTGACTAATCAAAACATATTTTCCTTGGCAACACATTTGATTCTTTTGGGCAGAAAGAAAAACAATTTACTTGAGCATCTAATCTAATTCTGAATCAAAGAAATGAATTACCTAAACCAGGAAGATCATTTTACTGGAAGAGTATTCTGATACATCCATATTTTTCTGATCATTAACCCAGGGGAAAATCAATTTACTGAAGAGTATTCTGATACATCCATCTTCTTCTGATCATTAACCCAGGGGAAGATCAATTTACTGAAGAGTATTCTGATTCATCCATCTTCATCTGATCATTAACCCAGAGGAAGATCAATTTACTGAAGAGTATTCTGATACATCCATCTTCTTCTGATCATTAACCCAGGGGAAGATCAATTTACTGAAGAGTATTCTGATTTATCCATCTTCTTCTGATCATTAACCCAGGGGAAGATCAATTTACTGAAGAGTATTCTGATACATCCATCTTCTTCTGATCAACACATAAACTAGGTTAAGATCATTTTACAGAAAATATTCTATCCATCTTCTTCTGATCATTAACCCAGGGGAAGATCAATTTACTGAAGAGTATTCTGATACATCCATCTTCTTCTGATCAACACATAAACTAGGTTAAGATCATTTTACAGAAAATATTCTGATACATCTTCTTCTGATCAATACCTAAACCAGGGGAAGATCATTTTACAGAATAAATATTCTGATAAATCCATCTTCATCTGATTATTGCAAACATCAGGGGAAGATAATTTTACTCAAGATGAATATTCTGATACATACATCTTCTGATCTATACATACACCAGGGGAAGATCTGTTTATTAGAGAAAAGTATGCTGATGCACCCATTTTCTTCTGATCATTATATACACCAGGGGAAGATCATTTTACACAAAAATATTCTGATAAATCCATCTTCTTCTGATCATTGCGTAAACCAGAGGAAGATCATTTTATTGGATTGGTATTCTGATACACACATCTTCTTCTGATCATTACATAAACCAGGAGAAGATCATTTTACAGAAAATTATTCTGATACATCTTCTGATCATTGCTTAAACCTGAGGAAGATCTTTTTTTAGATTAGTATTCTGATACACACATCTTCTTCTGATCATTATATACACCACGGGAAGATCATTTTATTGGATTGGTATTCTGATACACACATTATCTTCTGATCATTATATACACCACGGAAAGATCATTTTATTGGATTGGTATTCAGATACACACAGCTTCTTCTGATCATTATATACACCACGGGAAGATCATTTTATTGGATTGGTATTCAGATACACACATCTTCTTCTGATCATTATATAATCCACGGGAAGATCATTTTATTGGATTGGTATTATGATACATATATCGTCTACCGACATAATTCAAATCAGGGAGAACTGCTGCGGAAATCATTTTAGCATTTTTATCCAAAAATATTTTTAAAAACATTTATCACTTCGATATCTGAAAACAGGCGTGAAAATGCACAAAAAACGTGATATGAACACAAAGAAGTACACAATTTTACCATTAAAACAACACAATTACAGTAAAGTTGATTAAACAGTGTTATAATTTGTATTTATTGAAAGATTTTAAGAATGTTAATTGTAACAGTGTACATAACATGTCAACAATCTGATATATTATATACATATTCAATAAATCTCGGTACAGGCGTTTATAATTAACCCGCCGGCGGTGGGTGCACGGCGTGAAATAACAGAAATATTTACACTACTCCTAGCTTCGGCGACGACGGCCGATTATTGAGGATTTATCACGATTCCTCAAGGACTTAATCTCAGCCCCAATTCTAACATTTAAATAAAAACGTGTAAAGTGTTCATTGTAATATATGTGGAAATTGCACGGATATCTTTGAAAATTTAAGAATGCCTTTCTCTGTGAAAGACTGCAACATAAATGTGGAGTTTCTGGTTCTGGTTGATGTTAAACTGGTTTATCTTCTCCTCGAGCTATCTCGAGCCTAGAACACTAGTAAATGCTAATTCTCAGGTTCCAGATTAATCTTAGAGGGATCCTTTTTCTCATCTTACACTCTACTCTGTCCTGTCCTTATATTTGATCCTCATGGACTTGGAATTCATCTTTGCTCTTTTCAAACCATTGATTTTACTAATTCTAAATTCTCTTTGAACAGAATCCTTTCTTGATCTTGCTTCTCCTGATCTTATATTCATTTAATTCAATATTGAACTTAATATTTTCATAAACTTTAACATTCTTTTAGTATTAGGACTGAACCTTTCTCTTTGTCTTTATCCTGCCGTTCTTTAAAATCATCCTCTTGTTTTCAAACATCATTCTTGTCCTGTTCTTGTCCTCCTGTCGGAGAATTGCCCTGCTCTAGTTCTTCGGCTTCCCTCTTGTCCTGCTTTTGTCTTCCTGTCGGATAGTTGTCCTCCTCTAGTTCTTCGGCTTTCTTCTTGTCCTGTTCTTGTCCTCCTGTTGGATAATTGTCCTGCTCTAGTTCTTCGGCTTTCTTCTTGTCCTGTTCTTCTCCTCCTCTTTTATTCTTTTCATGTTCTTGTCCTCTTGATGTTTCCATGTCCTGTTCTAGTCCTTCTGCTGTATCCTTGTCCTGTTCTAGACCTCCTCCAGGATCCCCCTGGTTTAGCAAATCTCATCTTTTCTTTTTCTTATCATTCACAGGTGTCGCCTCATCTGAACAGCAAAATTTTAAAATTAAAATTTAACAAATAAAAGTGTTCATAACAAAATATAAAAAGCAACCCACTTCTTAATCGCTGAAGTGTTTTCAGAAAAATTAGAAAAATGTGGTTGGGACATTTTATCATAAAGTTCAGCGTCAAGTATATATTTGAAATTCACTTTTATCAGTTCAGAACAAAAAGTTCTAATGATGAAATTAGGAACTTATATAACATGATGTATCAAATGAACTAATGTATTATTATTTAGTGTCCTTTTAACAAGTACGAAAATACTTTTTTAGCTAACCCCCCCCCCCCAGGCCCCTCATAATTCGTTACAACTTCGCATGATTATACTTTTCCAAGTCAAGTTAGGTTTAAATAAATATATCACTTGAGGTTGCTAAGAAATATGAGAAGGTTGGAGTCCAAAAAACCCAATTCACCAACTATTTTAATAGAGGAACAATTTGACAAAGCTTTGTTAAAAGAAGGGTTTGATATTTAAAAGATAAAAATCCTAGAAAAAGTGTAGTGTATTTATCATTGTGAGTGTTTACCTGGTTTCTTAACTCGTGCACTGACCCTTCTGCCCAGGTCAGGAACCAAGTTTGTTCCTGAAGGTTTAGCTCCTCCAACCTTGGCATCAGTCTTACTGGAGACCTTCTCCTTGACCCCAGTAGGCCGGCCAACCTTCTTTAACTCAGGTTTAGGTTTCAAGCTCTTGGATCCGTTGGATAATATTTCCTTCTTATTCTCTAGTGAATTGTTCTTCTTCACATTCCTAGAAATACAAAATGGTAAAAATATAAAATCATGATTTTTTTGTTCTTATGCATTAATTTTTTTTTTACTTAGCAAAAAACTATAAGATTATTCCATTCTCTATTTACTCTCCAATAAATACAGAACTACCTTTTAATTTTCGTAAAATCTAACAAATAAATAATTTTCTACGAAAATCTCATGTTTTTAAAAATCTAGGTCTTGCATGAAAACTTTTTTATTTCTAAATTCCAATTTTAAGTTAATCTAACGAATTCTTACGAATGAAAAATAAAACAAAATTATTAAAATCTTAAATAATCTTATCAACTTATTAACTCCTAAAATAAAGCTTTGGAATAAAAAAAAACTTTGAAATTTACTTGTGCAGTGTGCACCCATTAACCTTTGGGGAATAAAATAACTTTTGCGGACAGGTTCGGAGGGTTAATTTCTAGTAAGACTCCTGTAAACTTACCCTGTATCCATCTTATTCTCAGTCTGTCCTTCAATCCCCTTGTCCTCTACCTTCTTCTTGTCTAGTGTTCTATTCATCTCCCTGATTCCTGGACTAGTTGATCCTCGCCTACTCTTCACCTCCTCCTTCAACCGTTTAGCTGCAGGTTCAAGGGATTGACTGGAGAGAATACTAAGATCTGATTTATCTGATTGAACCGAGGATCCTGTATCCCTCCTTGATCTTTTACCCGAGGCGGGGGATTCCGGAGCTAGGAGAGGAGAACTACATTCAACATCATCCTTGGCTATCAGAGGACGGAGTAAGGATCCTTCGCTTTCCTCCTCACTGCTCCTCTTACCATTTCTAGATCTTTTGGACTTAAGATCAGAACCCTCGCTAATCTCACCGTTGGTGAGGTCGACCTGAGTTTTAGATTTAGGTTGAGGACTCGGCATAGGTTGAGTTTCTTCAGGGGTAGCAAGTACACCAGAGTTAACTGAAACCTTGTCAGTTGGAGATTCATCTTTGTCACTTGGTTGAGGGGAAGAGCTGGTGGAACCGTTGGTTTGTTTAACTGGGTCCCCAGCTGCTGATACTGTTTCGGAATTTATAGGCGTGTCTGAACTTGATGTTGGTGTATCTGAACTCGTTGTAGGCGTTTCCAACCCAGCTGAAGGCGTACTAGAAGACTTAGCGGGCGTTGAAGAAGCATTCAATGATGTTTCTGAAACCACCGTACTGTCTATAGGTTCTAAAGGCGTCTCCGTAGAAGGAGGAAGAGGTGAACTACTTGATGAAGAATGTTGAGAAGATGAAGAATGACCTGATGGGTTGACTGAGGGCTGACTAGGTTCCCCGGACAAGGTATTATCACAGATACTGGAAGGAGGAAGGGCAGGATAGCTTACAAGGCTAGTAGTGGAGGCAGGGGCGGGCCCGGCCAGCCGGACCAAGCAGGTAGTCAAAGCTCCGTCAGAACTCTGCTCCGAGAAGGATTTAAGAAGGCTGGATTTGATGACAACAGTTCTAGCAGGAAGTCCTGATGTTCCAACTGTAGTTCCGACGATCTCTCCTCCTTTGACTGGAGAAACTCGGACCATCCGACCACCGGCTCCAGATACACTGACTAATTTCACGGGAACCATCTTAGCTCCGGGTCGAAGGGGAAGCTGGGTTCTTACACTCATCCCGGCGGGTCCTAGTGTTGTTATACTCACGGAGCTCACTGGGAGAGGATAAGATGGACGGTTCACTGGATCTAGAACCTTACTCGGATTAATAAGACCCGGAGCCTGTTCTGAAACCTGATCTAAGCTCCGTTCTACTGTTTTAATCTCAACCGAACTTGAAGAAGGAAGGGAGGATGGAGGTGGACTCCGGTCTCCATTTCTTACAGTTATTATGTTACAGTCTGAATTACTATTATTGCTAAAGGATTTAGAAACATGGTTTACAGTTTTCACATTTGCATAATCATGCATACTGCGCGGGTGTTCACTTTTAGAATTATCTGGACGAGGAATTTCTACCAAATCTCCAGGACATTTATCATCAGCACCGTCACAGGATCTGATTAGATCAGAATCCTTCTCCTCCATCTCCGTATCTCCGTTCTGAATCGGTAGGTCTAGGGAGACATTGTCTGATTGTGAATTTGATATGTTTTCCACAGAAGAAGTTAAACTACTTCTCCTGGGAGTTAAAGCACTACTTTGGGAAGAGTGTTCTTGGTCTAAAGGGTGATTTGTGACTTTGGAATTTTCCGTGTTAGTTTCTACAGGTTTGGAATCACAGATATCCGAGGGTTTCGGAGAATTTGGAAATGTTTCCGAGGATGGATTTGGACTGCCAGGTTTCTCTGTTTGAGTATCAGAGGAAGGGATGAACTCAGATCTTTGCAACGAGATAGAGTCTGGTGAGGTTTGAGAATCTGTCCTTGTGTCGGGTTTAGTCTCACTGTTCTCCTGCTGTGTATGAAGGTTGGCAGGGGGAGGAGGAGCAGGAGATTTATCCGGAGGTGTTGAGGTCACCAGAGAATCTGTACTCCCACTATCTGAGACTGGTGGGCTAACCTTCCCCGACACAGATCCCATACTACTGGAGTAGGTTGGAACCCTGGATCCCTCGATACAAGGATCATTCACAGCATGAAACGGACTCTCTCCTTGGTTCGGACTCTTCTCCGACAGTGTATCCATAGACTCTATACCACTGTCCTCACCCTGTTGTCCTCCGTGATCCTGTCCTCCTCGAGACCCAAGGGGGGAAACTGGATCTCCGAGAGGACGTCGTCCCTCTAGTATATCCAAGACACTAGTTAAACCTGGATCCTTCCTCTCCTCCGACTTATTCTCCGCCTCCTTACCCTCGTCCGGAGGTTTAGGAGGATTCCCAGGGTGTGGCGATAAAGGGAGGGTTTGGCCAGGGCCAGGCTCCGCTCCCTCCAGCCCTGGCCCCGCCCAGTTTAAATCATGATCCTCGCTCTCATCCGCAACTTTATCCTCGTCTGAAAATATTCAGAGTATTAACAATAATGTCAAGATTACATCCAGGTTTCAGAAAAAAAACTATTAGTAGTAGAAAATCTCTGTAATTAAACACAGGGGTGTATCTTTTCTAGTATAATAATAATCCGCCCTCCATCTCTTTGAAAATCATTTTACCCCAGATGTTGAGCTTTTTTCGCCGAGCCCCAAAATTTTTATTGGGGTTTTGTTCGCTGAATTTAATAAATCTGAGGGAAAAGGATGGAAAAACTGGCCTTGACCATTTTTTTATTTTCCCCCCAGAACATTAAAAACGATTTCCCTCGAACTCTTGTAATTATTTAGTATATACCTCTGATTATATCTAATTAGAAAATATTTCTTTTGAATATTTAGTGGAGAGCTCATTAAGGGAACCGAGATCAAAAAATGAAAATGTTCGTGTCCGTGTCCAAATTTTACTGTCAAATTATGTTTTTTAAAAATCGTGAATCTATCAAACCCGAGGTTAAAGAGGAAAACAATTTTAAGGAAACAACAAAATTTTCAGCAGTGCTGAAGATTCGGATCCGTTGTTTCCGCAAGATTTTGGCTTCCTGGATCCGGATATATCCGGATGTATCCTAAAAATATGCGGATCCACAAAAAGATGAAAAAAAAACTGTTTTACTCTCTAAACCCAAAACAGAACTATTACAAAAGGGAAGATTATAAAAATTTCCTGATTTCTGAATGATTCATCAAGTTAAAGCATAACAATGTGCGAAAAAAAATAAGAAAAAAATTGTAAAATTTTGCTTTGTTAAAAAAAATAGAAAATCTTAAAGAAATGGCCTGGATCCGGATCCATTTTTTCCAGTGCGGATCCGAATCAAAATTAGCACCGATTTTCAGGAAATTTTTGTTTAAAACTTAAAACAGAAACAGAGAAAATATTTTTCTTCTAAACATTTTTCCTCTGTAAAATATGAATGTAATTTTTACTGAAGTGTGAAAAATTAACTGATTTTTTGAAGTAATAAGTATTGAATGGGGAAGAAACTTGCCATTTTTATTTCATTCATCAAAATATGCGCCCTGTGATTTTTAAGAAAAATATATAATTTTTAGGGAAATCGAATGAATCTAGAGGGGAATTAAAAACGGTTTTAAGTCTGCAAAATACATACTCCTTGCCATTGCAAATAAGGCAAATCGAGCAAACTTGCACAAAAATCAAAGATAACGAATGTCAACTTTAAATGAAAATAAAGCTTTTCAAAAAATAACTGGATTCTCAAAACTGAATTAATAATCAAAAACAGTTTATATAAAATCTCAATAACTATTAACTAACCTTTCTCCGTCGTATTTTTAAGACTATCAGTTTTACTGAAGGATAGGGTAGAGGCAAGGGTGGAATGAGGAGAATTATTAAGTAACCGGTTTTCTAGTAGTTCAGGCCAAGATTTCGTCTCTTTCGTCCCGGAATCCTCTCTCTGGCTGTGCTTCGCTAAACTCTCTGTCCACACTGCCAGTCTATCCTTCTCCCCTTTCTCTCCTTTCTTCCCCTTCGTGCTCATCTTCTTCTTCTTATCCGGGGTTGTATCTATAGAGATGTGGTTTATTTGATTCAGGTTTGGAAAAGATCCGTCCGCCTTTCCTCCTTCCAGGATTCGAACCTTCTCCGGCAACGGTTTAATCCTGACTCTGGTCTTGAGATCGAGTTGAAGGTGTGCCTGGGGTAGCTCCCCCGGCTCCGAGAAGTTTAAGGCGCTAGATTCTAAATTCTGTTCATTCTCCAGTTCTACGCTGTTCTCTTTCAATTTTATCTTAAGTTTTGGTAGTTTGGGCTCCAAGGTTTCAGTTACTTTATTCTGCAGTTTGGATTGTATTAATCCGTCCTTTGAACCTTTTGAACTATTATTTGGGACTTTCAACTTGAGTTTCAAGGAATGTTCACCTGAGGTAGAGGATCCACCCGGGCTACAGCTCGGGGAATCAATTTTCTGTTTAGATTTATCCGAACCTTCGGAGATACAGGACGGATCCGGGGACGGTTTCGCCGCCGCCCCTTGATCTCTTTTAGAGTCGGAGGAATCACTAAGAGGTTCGACCGGCCCAACCTCGAATTGTCCTGTCACGGGGTTTATGAGAAGGGTTTGTTTGTTCCCGACCTTCGAACTATGCAACGAGAGTTTTGCACTTTCAAGAGTAACCGGGGTAATAATAGTAGGCTTTTTATCACCAGTTTCACTCAAACCGTCCGACAGGACTTGTGTCGTCCGATCATTCGAACTATTCACATTGTTAGTCCTAGGCACTGGGCTGAGAGTAACGGAGGAGGGTGGGGGCATGAGCGTCCCTTTTCGGGAAGAAAGGCTGTTAAACTGCTGATTTGACCGGGGATTGACAGATGTTAAACTAACCCCGGGTAGGTTCGCTAGGTTGACAGATGAGCCACTGACTGGGCTCAGACTGGCGCTGTCTTGGCTAGAAATTTGAGATCCTGAAGGTAAACTTCGCGACGACATACTCGAGACTGGGAGTATTGTAAACCCACTACCACTACCCCCTAGGCTACTGTAGGGGAACCCAGCACTTCCTAAACTATTATTATCACTAGATCTGATTGTTTCCTGCTTTCGAGCTTTCTTGGGTGCAGGTTCCTCACTGTCTTTTAATAGTTCACTTTTACCAAAATTAAGAGTTCTAGAGGAGAGGAGAGCGGAGAAACGTCCTTCCTTTCCTCCCAGCAACTGCGGAGAATTGCTCAACCCTGGTAAACTTGACTCCGATGATTTACCTGAGGCCCCTGATGACAAAGGAAGAGTTTTGATGAGCATTGCAGCCGGGGGAGGTGTACTAGGTAACCTAGAGGTTCCTGGTCGGGGCGGAGTAGAGCTCAGCAGGGCGGCGGAGAACTGGTTTCTCGACGCGGCGGAGCTTTTCAAGGACGGTTGATCCGGAGCGGCGAGCAACGGCTCCTCTTTCACTTTTACTTTCTCCTCTATGGGTAGGACAGGCGTAGGCTTGACTGGCGAGGAATTGGGCGTGGATGTCGAGGATTCGGCCTCGCTGTCGGAATCTTCTTCGATCATTGTCATAGAAATAACCTGAAAAATAAAATAAGATTAAAATTTTAACACATAAAAACTAGAAGAAAATATTATAAAGATCAAAATGTTAACACGAGAAAACTAGAAAAACGTCTCAAAAATTCTTTAAAGACGTCTCAACTAATAAAACCAAATGAAGAAGAAAATCTTTTCAAAAATTAAAATGTTGAAACGTGAAAACTAGAAGAAAATCTTTAAAAGATCAAAATGTTGACACGTGAAAACTAGAAGAAAATCTGTAAAAGATCAAAATGTTGACACGTGAAAACTAGAAGAAAATCTATAAAAGATCAAAATGTTGACATGTGAAAACTAGAAGAAAATCTGTAAAAGATCAAAATGTTGACACGTGAAAACCAGAAGAAATTCTTTTCAAAGATTAAAATGTTGACACGTGAAAACTAGAAGAAAATCTTTATAAGATCAAAATGTTGACACGTGAAAACTAGAAGAAAATCTTTATAAGATCGAAATGTTGACATGTGAAAACTAGAAGAAAATCTATAAAAGAACAACATGTTGACACGTGAAAACTAGAAGAAAATCTATAAAAGAACAACATGTTGACACGTGAAAACTAGAAGAAAATCTATAAAAGATCAAAATGTTGACACGTGAAAACTAGAAGAAAATCTTTATAAGATCGAAATGTTGACATGTGAAAACTAGAAGAAAATCTATAAAAGAACAACATGTTGACACGTGAAAACCAGAAGAAAATCTATAAAAGATCAAAATGTTGACATGTAAAAACTATAAGAAAATCTATAAAAGATCAAAATGTTGACATGTGAAAACTAGAAGAAAATCTATAAAAGATGTGAAAACTAGAAGAAAATCTATAAAAGAACAACATGTTGACACGTGAAAACTAGAAGAAAATATATAAAAGATCAAAATGTTGACATGTGAAAACTAAAAGAAAATGTTTAAAAAGAACAAAATTATATCACGTGAAAAAGAAGAAACTCTTTAAAAAAAGATTAAAACTAAAACAATGACTCTTTTAAAACAGCATGTTAAAACGTGAAAACTAGAAGACTTTTTTAAATTAAAATGTTCAGACGTGAAAACTAGAAAACCATTTTTAAAGAAGGAAACTTTTTAAATATCAAACTAATCAGAAAATGTTAAGCTGAGGTTTGTTTTATCGAAATTTGACTAAATAAGTTTTACAAATTGACTAAATTAGCTGAAATATAATTTGTTAAAATTGAAGAAAAATAAAACTGACCTGTCCCCCCTCGACCTGTATGGAGAGTATGCCGAGGTCCCGAAGGACCTGGTCCCCGGCCTCCGCCAGTCTCGCCAGCTTCTCTGCGGCCTCTACAGGGATGTTGAAGGTTACCTTGACAGAGTTCCATGGCTCGCACTTGGTAACATCCAACTCTTCTAAAACAAAAATAAAAAATTAGATTTTTGTTAAGTTTAAATGTTTTTCATAAAATAATACAACTAGATTCATTTTTTAACTTTTATTTATTTTTTATAAGTTTTAAAATGTAATCCCTGACTTCTGATCATTAAGAGCTAAAAGTTCAATATTCTAATGTAAAATATTCGGTAATTAATTTATTCCAATTAGTAAAGGTATTATAACCTTAATTTTTAAGTTGTTAAATGAACAAAAATATTAAGAATTTCAAATCATAACAATTAATTTAATTAGAATTAAAATATTGTTGGTTCAATCAAGGATTAGTGCTGGTTCAAAGGTCGTTAAATTTACCGGCTTTAATTAAACAACAAACATCTCACATATTTCTGATAGATGTTTACTTACATTTATAAGTGTGATATGACGAATACGTATGCTAAATAGGTTAAGGTTTGTTTGTTTAGCTTGTTCATAGAGGGTTGCATAAGGAAGGTGGGGCTGGGGGAGAGAGGGGAGAGGGGGGTATCAAGTATTAAGATTTAACTTTTTTTACTTCTAACTATTACTTTTCCCCATAAAATTACTATATTTCCCCAAAAGTTGACACAAATAAAAAACTTGAATATAATTACATAGCACAAGGGGGTATTGTTTATGGAGGGGGAGGGAGGATTGACCAGAGGTTCATCTAGAGATATTGTGACAGGTGAAAAACTTCATTTTTTCGCAGCTTTATTAACTAAGACACTATTTAAAACAGCTTTTATGGACTAAGACACTATTTGAGACGGATTTCATGGACTGTAGAACTATTTGAGACAAATTTTATGCACTAACACACTATTTAAGACAGATTTTATGGACTGAGACACCATTATTTTGAATAATCTTTTTTGGTTGTTTATTTTCTTGTGGTTTTTAACAATTATTTTCTTCTTTTTCTTGATTTTGATGGTTATTATATCGTTAGAACTGAGGAGGGTCAACCCAGACCGAAGCATATTTTCAATAAATGTGGAACTAACATCTACTTTTATATACTCTACAAAGGTTTGGTCCATCACCACCACCGGATTTTAGGACTAAGACATTATTTGAGACAGATTTTATGGACTGACTCTATTTGAGACAGATTTCATGGACTTTCATGGATTTGAGATAGATTTTATAAACTATGATAATTGTGGACGAACATATTGGCCAAGATACTTTTTGTGTTGTAAAGTGGTAATTTTCGGGTTAAAAAGGTGTACTGCATATTGTATAATGTTAATTATAGACTTAATTCTTAACTTATTCATTACTACTTGTTTTCTAAATAGGGTTTTAGCTTTTAGTTTTTAACTTTTAATAAAACTTCATTATTCAACTCCACACTTTAGGATTTAAAAGCATGATTTAAAACTATACAATCATTTCACGATTTCATATCAATATCATTTAATTGATCATGTAAAGTATTAAGTTTATTTCAATCAGTTATTGTGCTATATGGAAGTAAGAAATATAAAACGTTCCATAAAAATCGTTTGCATTAATAGTTTGAAATACTCGAAATAGATAGAATCATATCTGCTAATTTGATTAATGGTCAATTAAGATTTAATTTTAGATGCATCAATTTTTCAATTATTCCATTTAAAAGTATAAATACCTGAACAACAACAACATAAATAACAACCTTAGAATAAGGTGCCATTCTAGTTTTGTCTAATATATTTTTGCTTTCATCGAAATGTTGGAATCAAGGTATCGAAAGCTTGGCGAATTTGATATCTAAGTTTAGTTTCTACCTCATGTGACCATAGATTTCATTTTTCTCTGAACATTTATAAAACTCTTTAAATACTCATTAAGTGGAACTGAAAAAGGATTATAGGATAAGATATTCAGTTGAGTTGAATAATCATGAAAATTACACTCATTGCAAAAAAACATCTTTTGTTTAATATAATCATTGTTAAACGGTTTAAAAGTTTAAAATTCGGTGATGGTGATGGACCAAACCTCTGTAGAGTAAATAAAAGTAGATGTTAGTTCCACATTTATTGAAAATATATTTCGGTCTGGGTTGACCCTCGTCAGTTCTAACGATATAATAACCATCAAAATCGATAAAAAAATATAAAAAAATGTTTGTTAAAAATCACAAGAAAAAAACAAACAAAAAAGATTAGTCAAAATAAAAATTTGGGCTGTCAAATGGACACGAACATGGAAACGAACTCAGATTATCAGGTGGAAAAAAAATAATTTGAAAGTATTCACTTTTAAAAAAAATGTTTTAAGACAATTATTATTCCTTGAGATTGTTTCTGTCACAAAGGTTAAAAACAAACTGTTAAGATGTACGTGTATAAAGTGATCTTAACATGGTTAAACCAAAATAAATCGCCACGTTTTAAGTCATCTTTGTGAATAAATTAAGGTCAACTTACGGTAGTCTAAAGACTAAAACTAGCTAATTTAACCAAAAGCCAATGGTCATTGAAAGTTATCTTAAGTGATTAAATAGTTAAAACTTCAATCGGGCATAAATATAAGTTGACTTACAGTTTACTAAAACTTCAGCTAGTTTAAAAAAGCCAATAGTCATTGAAAGTTATCTTGGGTGATTAAATAGTTAAAAACTTAAATATAAATAAAAATAATTTAACTTACGGTTCTCTAAAACTTTAGCTAGTTTTTTAACCAAAATTTTACTTTAAAACCGCCTTTACTTGTTATATTGAGAGGGTTAATGGTTAAATTAAAAAGTTATCTTAAATGGATCAATATTAAATAGGAAAAACTTAAATCAGAGCATGAAAAGGTTGATTTACGGTTGTATAACAATTTAGTTGGTTTAACCAAAATTAATTAAAAAAGTAATATCAGGGCAAAAAAAAATAAAAGTTAACTTACGGTTGTCTAAAACTTTAGCTAGTTTGTCAAAGATGGTCTGGCATCTGGTCGGGAAATCTGGGTCGTCGATATCTCCTTGGCAGGTCAACACTGCCTGGATATGCTCCGAGTCACACTTCCCACCCGTACCCATCACTGAACATAATGTATTTTATAATAAATAAAATAATCAAGAATGGAAATAAATCTTAATGCGGACTGAGATTAGAATTAATGAAATAGAGGTAGAAAGTTAAGCTAGCTCTCCCTAGTTCAACTACTTCTCTAGTGACGCCGGGATCAACTAGAACCAGAAGTTAAAACTTCTGTACTGAGAATATCGGGATCTATTTTATTTCCCATAAATATCCCGCGTTATAGCTTAAATCGGAACTTTACTGTGGATATTCTTAGTTTTAAACACTTGATCTCGATATCTAATGTGGGCACTTCTAAATTTGAAGAACTATGCTTACCCCCTCACTAAAACATCATTAAAGGGTGTGACCATCAGGGGAAATTAATCCGTAATTCTGCATAAGAAGGAGATTCATGCTTTATCCTGATATACATAACACAATAAGTTCCCACGACGTAGTTCAACTAACCATATCTACTTCTACTATGTCATTAATTCCAATCTCTGAATTCGTATCCGTCCTGCAAAAAGGCGGATCCGGGTTAAGTTTGATAAGTACTAAACCACAGATTTAATAAATCTTCCCTAAATTATTTTAATAAATTTTCTTCCAATTATTCAAATTTGCAAAAACGCAGTTAGTCCTGTGCCATATGGCTTCGCATTATAGTCTTCTGATCTTTTTAACCTTTGCATATTTATCGAATTTGTTAAAACTATCTTAGTTATGTTACCTTGCTATAGCTACAACATTTTGTTTGTTTTTTATTTCAGTTTTAGGTTGATTCTGTAACTTTTGTTATATGAACATTAATACAAATTTATCATTTAGCTGAAAAAACTACCAATGTGCATTGTTTAAAAAGACGAATTAATGCAGATATTCTTAGGTTTTCGGAGAAAAAAATTTGCTTTTATTGGTAATTTGTTTACATGTTAAAAATATTGGATTTTAGCTGTGTTTTGATGATATCTGTATCATCCAACATGATAGGGTAAAATTACGAGTTAAATGTAAAACATTAAATTTTTGCGTTTCTAGTAATTCTTTATTTAAAACGGTGTCCATATTAAGAATTTAATGTCGACAATGAATCACTTTCTGAAAGGTATTTGTAGACAAATTATCGCTTGAATTTCTTTTAAATAAAATTACAAGTAATAAATGTAAAAAATAAGAATAGAATTTATTCTTTTTTATGACGGCGGCGTCCATATTTAGAATATAATCCGCAGCAATGAATCAATTTAAAAATTACGATAAGTTATCTTTTTAAGTTGTCGAATAAGAATTCTCAATTATGCAGCTTCATCTCCCACTTGTTGAAAAAAGAACACGTTTCACAATTTTAAAGATGTAAACATTAGAAATTACCATTCCCGTACGCAAACAATGCGCCTATGAAAACGTAAAATCCGGGAAAAAATATTTTTGACAGTTTGAAAAAATGCTAGATTGATGCGTATCTGGAAAGTAGACAGTAGTGGTGAAATTACAATTCACAGATATTAAATTGAAACCATTTGAAAACTTGCAGAATTTGGAGTTGGTTCGTTTTGTCCAAGCCTAAATTACTTGGAAGCAACAACTCAATCGAGAAAAAAAATCATAAAAATACGCTTGACGTCCATTACGTTTGTCTCGGCTTCTCCCCTCTGGCGTTACTTTTCCCTAGTCTAACATTTTCAAATGGAAAATTTCACCGTTTGAACCCAACAGATATTAACTAGGTTCGGTTCATTAGAACAATAAGATTCTTTAGTTTCACTTTGATCGTCCATATTTATACACTTACCGCTTATTCAGCCAGGATTCATCGATTAGAACTCATGTTGAACCTTGGTATACATAAACAATGGCGGCCATTTAGTCGCTATACTAACTACCTCTGTATGAGGAAGGCTAGAGCGCATGCGCAGTTTGAACTCTAGGACACAACTTTGTTCCACGGAACAGAGTGAACGCCATGATATGTACACTCACGTTCCGTTTCATACCCGCGCATTTACAAATTTAAAAATCCAGTTCTACGTTCTACGTTCCGTTTATATTGTAAACAAGATATCTTCTTATTTATTTAAACAATACAGTTCAACTAGGGACCAGAGGGATCCGGGCCAGCGCTTTAATTGAAATAATGTCGTATTCAGGGGGATGGAGATGAATATAAATTGTCTTTTTAACAATTATATTTAAAAATCATATTTGCATAAATTGAAATGGTTAGGTATACTTTCGTAGTTGGTTACAAAAAATTGTCGGATAAATATGATAAAACAAATTATAAGAGGTACATAACCGACTTTATACTTGTAACCATTTTACCCAGTTTTTATAAATTTTGGATTTTTCGCAGTTTTTCTTTTCAATTCTTCCTGAAGTATGAAAAAATTGACCCATTTTTGTTATCTTAAAAAAAACGAATTTATAGATATGTTATGTATAATATAGACTTTTTGGGATCAATCATGATTATTGCATTATGCTAGAGCAACTTAAAAATTAAAATAAGTATTTATAACAATATAAAGCTTTAAATGACACCTCAGCACACAGTTCCAATGTTTTGTTCTTGGTAAACCCTGTACGTATATAACCTATAATCTTATCCTACAATACGTTTAAGTTTACGTTTAAACATTTAAACAAATTTCAGAACCAACCTTTGAAATACAGGGTGTCCCAAAAAACATGGGAATTCAGTGACGAATTCAATATCGTCTTTGTTATGAATTAGCATTGCAATACCTAATTTCAAAAGCAATAATATTATTATGTCTGCTAGAGTTTATTTTATGAAAACGGTAAAAGACTGTAAAGATGTGTCTATAATGTCTCCGCAAGATGAACAGTGAAGACGGACAAGTTTACTCTGTTTGTATACTGCAATTTTCTTGTTTTACTAAGTACAACCGTATGCAGTCAAAACATAAACAAACAAATTGTAAACATAGCAGACGAAACTCTTACAGATTACAGCTTTCTCATTAGGTATCACTATACTAAATCAAAGAATTTTTAAAAAAGACGATATCGAATTCGTCACTGAATTCCCATGTTTTTTGGGACACCCTGTAGTATATTTTCTTCGATTTTAGTATAAGTGACTTTTTCTTTTAGACACAATTTTCTTTACAAATTCGAAGTTATATCTTTTAAACATCAAAATAACCTCTACAGCATTTGTATATATGTATTTTAGACTAAAATATTTAGATGTTTTCAGAATTTTCTATCTTTATTATCTACGTATTTTCTGAACAAAATTACAAATTAAAAATTTTGTATTATATTCAATTTCTAGACATTGATTTTTATTTGTGCAAATACAAATTGACAATTCTTAAGTAAAAACATCTTTCTAATTTTTAATTGTTACAACATGTGCAATTTTTTTCAAGCATTGATAAAGGAATTGAGTTTTCTGTCACAAACTCTGATTTTCTAAGTTCTAGTCACATCTTTGCAAACTATGAATTCTGTTAGATTTAAGTTTGAAATATCAAAGGTTAATCAGGTTGCAAATATATAAGAATTATAAGATTTCAGTTTGCGGCTGCAATTGACTTACTTCCTTTACAGATTTTTACATAGTAAATGAAATATTAATTATTTTAAGTACAATTTTCCGAATTAAGAAAGAAAATGAGAATTGTTGAATTCGGAAGTAGACATATTTAGATAAATGTTTAAATTTTATGTAAATGTGAATTTTCTTAGTTTTAAATAATATAAAATATTTATCTATATATTTTTTTAATTGATAATATCAAACTGTACATAAAAATTAATGTAACAATAAAGAAAATTCTAAAAAATGCTAAATTGTATATGTAAATATAAAAATTCAAAAATAGCTGCAAATATAATAAAAGTTTACTAATTGTCCTAACGAGAAGTTAGGGAAAGGCAGTATAAATAAAAAACATAAATTTTTTAACATCGGCTCAGCCGGTAATAAGCTCGATATATGAATTGGATAATCTACAACTTTCACAAAACAGAATTTGGTCAGAAATTAACATTTTAGAAATGTATTGATTTGGTGTTGGAAAATTCGAAAAACGAATTTAGATAGATTGAGTATTTAGTTATTCAATGAGATTTTATAAATAATTTAACTTTAAAAGAGAATTTTTTTCTAGTCATTTTCAGATTGACTAGAGCTGTACAATTAGTGCACTTAACAAGTACAAAACTTTTATATTACATGTTCTGTTATTGCATGTAAATACATAAATTATGGTATTAATATCTTCTTAATTTAAAGAAAACATTTCCTTATTGCTTGAAACAGAAGAGAATAAGAAGAATAATTTTGCAATACATTGCTTATTGCTTGAAGTGGGGTTGTAAGTATGTATAACATCTGAATAAAATTGGCACATTAATCTGAAATCTAGCAACAAACTAAGAATTGTAGATTTGTAAAGGATCTTACAAGGGACAGAACTTAAGAAAACTTCTGAAAAGATTTCAAATCTAAGATTTGAATATTTACGGGTCAACAAATGAGATCATGATGTATCTAGTTCCCTTAGTAGTGGTGAGACCCTCGTGATAATGAGTTAACCGGCCTGGATGCATCAACATGTGACCTTTCTTCGTCGCTTCAACACTGCAGTTGTAGCGTAGAAATCTACATCCTCCACCCTAAATATAAATTCAGATAAATGTACGGAAAGAAATTGAGTTTTTGTAACATTTTCAGCAATAACTCTTTTCAGAAAAAAGTTAACCCTGAAAATTATGATGATCGTGTTCTTACAAGGGTTATTTGTTTAAAACTATTCTGCATAATTTCAAAGTAAAACTAGTGCACCTCAGTTTCCTAAAGAAAATTGTTACAAAGACTATTCCTCTGGGGAATACATAATTTAGATTTTTATTGTGTTGTAGTAATAGTAAAAGTTCTGCTTATTAGCATATAAATATATTTTATATATATTGAAGTAAAATAGAGATATATTTAATATATATTTAAGTAAATTTTAAAGGGGTTGTAAAGTGTACACGTAAGACAATGCCCGATTCATAAGAGTAGCTTCGAAGCAGCTTTATCTAATCAATAATTTGGAAGAAATTATCGTTTTGGAAGGTTAAAAAGTGTTTAATTCGAATAATTCCTAAATTTTTTCTTGCAGTTTACTTTTGTAGAGAAACTACAATCGAAAATAGTCAGTTGATAAAATTGTAAACATAGATATCCAAGACATGCTTGATCAAACAAGTTTTTAAGGTTACGTTGTAAATCAGGCATTACCATCTTTATATGGAGGGTCACTTAAAATTACCATTACAGTCCCTTTAATAACAGTGTAAAATTCCATTGTTTATTCTTTGTGGAAAATTTGAACTAATGAGTTTTTACCTCATAATCCTTCCCAACATGGTTGAGAGCCACGTTGATGGTGTAAGTTGAACTATCATGGTGGGGGCGCAGGTTTGGCTGTTCATCTGGCCTGTATCTGAAAATAATATTTTTTTTTCAAATTTTTTTGAAAAATAAATTAAGTCTTTGACATAAACTCAAATTTTCTAATCCCTCATTGTGTAAATCTTTGATAGTTGAAAACTGAGATTATTTGATTTTGATCTAAGAGAATTCATAGTTTGAAATGTCTACGACATTGGGTTGCAAACATTTATAGATTTGAAAATTAGAGTTTGTGGCCAAGATTCAATTCCTTTTTTTAGGAATAATATCAACATCAATTTCATGATTCCTAAAACATGAAATAAAGAAAGTTATGAAAAATGTTTGCAGTATAGTCGGATTAAAGTTCCAAAAGTTCGTTAAAATAGGTAAAAAATTCAAAGTGTATGCACACAAAAGTTAAAAAATTTCCGAAACAATTCTGGATACAGAATTTTGAGGTTGATGGTTTAAACACATTTTGGTTAACTTAAGAATTGTTTGTATCAGCTTATGAGAAAACCAAACTGACCTGACAATGAAGTTCATAATTGATCTGGGAGGTTGGTGGAAGTATCCAAGGAAAACTGACTCCTGGAGGGGACGGATATATGTATCAAGAATATATAACCACTCATTGTCATATCCTGAAAACAAATTTTTATCAATTTATGAAAAAAATTTGATTATCCAAATTATCAATGTTAAAAAAACTAATTAGATGGATAAACCAAAATTTAAATTAGATTAAAATTTTAAAAATAAAAAAAATTTAAGCCACCGGAATAAACCATTTTATTTTAAAAATAAAAATAAAGTTTGCTTAAATGATCAGCATTGTTTTTCAATTATTTCTTATGATCCAATTAAGTTGAAACATCATCCCTTATCATATTGTATTTAGTGGTTGAAAATAAATACTATGACTATATATATTTATAAAATAGATTAAGATTGACAAAAAAATTTAAACTTTTCAAATAAATGATCTATTGACGATCATAAACACAAAAAAAAACCGATCTTTTTCGGAACTCAAGATAAAAATGTGGCTCAGCTACATTTTGCCTAGCCACATTTTGTCTAAGTAACATTTTGTCTTGGTAACTATTTGCCTAGTAACATTTTGCCTGGGGTAACACTTTGCCTGGATAACGTAAGAGCATGATTTTGCCTATTGCTTTTTTTAAAACGTGCAGATTTTGTAAAAATTAAACATTTATTTTTTTCACAAAGCTGAACCAGTTAAATTTAAATAAATTAAATTATTAAATGTTATAGGGCAATTGAATTGTATCTTGTCTAGCACTTTAAACATTCCAAATACCATGACTCAAAATCTATAATATGATGAAGAGTTTTAATTCTTCTCTATACGGCAATATTAGCGTGTATTTATACTTTACAAAAGATAAAACATGGTTATGTATCAGATATATATATTTTAAAAATACAGTTTACATCATGGAGCAAGGGTTTGAATATAATCATCTTTCGACATGGTATATGGTATGTTAGGAAACTGAATCATTTTCAAGAAGTTGCAAAGGTTTTTATGCCAAATTCGCGGATTTTTGAAAAAAAAATTGTGAAAAGATTATTGACTAGGCCTTTATTTATGTTACCTAGGCAAAATGTTAATAAGCAAAATGTGATTAGGCAGAATGTGATTGGGCAAAATGTGATTAGGCAAAATGTGGCTGAGCCAAAAATTTTAATAAAAAATAGTGAAGTTTTACCTATTTGATTCATATGAATATCTCTGGTTGGTACTGCCTCATACCCACCAGCCAATCTTAAAAAGGAGATTTTTAGTTATTTAAGGAGATGAGACAATGAGAACCAGATAACTATGGAATAGGATGAAAATATTAAATCAATACTTAAAGTTTATTTGATGCTATTACAAAGCAGAAAGTTTTATTAGTGGTAAGTTATGTAAAATGGGCCTGTTTACACTGCACAATTGCTGTGTTTCATGTTTACTGGAAAATGTAAAGGCGGGTGACTTGAGTCTAAAAATCATCTTACTTTTCAAGAGTTTTTTTTTAGGGTTGAAAGGAGATGAGATTATTGAATTTCAAGGTAGCTCAGATAAGAAAATGAAAATGTGGCTCAGATGTAGAAATTATGTTGATCGCCTTCCTCCCGTCTTGGTTTAGTTTACCTCTCATCTGTGTTAGTTCCTGAACTCCATTTACCAAAATGTTCAGCTTCAGCAACAAACTCGTCACAAAACCTCTCCGTAAACACTAAACAAAACCTCTCAGTTAATACTAAACACCTCTCAGTAAATACTAAATAAAACCTCTCCGTAAACACTAAACAAAACCTCTCTGTAAACACTAAACAAAACATCTCTGTAAACACAGAACAAAACCCCTCCGTAAAAACTAAAAAGCTCTCTTGAAACACTAAACAAACAATCTCTTAAACACTGAGCAAAGCATCTCCGTAAACACTAAAATCCTTCTCCGTTAACATTAAAACCCTCTTCGTAAACACTAAGCAAACCTCACCGTAAAAACTAATAAACTGGAATCGATCTGTACTTTACAAAAGATCTATGAATATAAAGTTGTCATCCACGTTAAATCATTATAAAAGGAAGGAATAAAAAAGCTTTTTCTAAAAAATAATTCCAGAATTCTCCAGAGAAGTGTTTTAGAATTAAAACAAAACCCCAAAAAATTAAACCAATCTTATGGTAAACTACTTTTCTGTTTAAATTAACCTACTCTAAGACACTTCTCTTACTAAGCCTTCGAATCAATAAATACATGTATTCGGCTGTAAAGAAGTATACCTGGGAACCAGAATACGTCTGGACATGGCGACACTTGTTTATACTCTGGTTCCAGGCTCAGACTGTAGTTCACGTGAAGATATCTCTGCTCCCAATCATACCTTGAGAAAAAAAAAACGATATGGAACACACATAAAGTTATGTTAGAATTTTGTTACTCACCGATTTCTCTCCATCTCCCAAAGCTCATTGTTTAAAAACCCGGTCGCAAACTTTTCATTGTTGACAAGATGCCCGAAATTGAGTCGGTTTGAAACATAAAGAAACACGTTGTTATCTCGTAAACTCTTAGAGAACGCCATATCCGGGTCCAGAGTAGAACTGGAGTAGGACGGTCTTGTTTTCTCCTCCTGGATCAAGGTTCCGGAGATAAGATAGCAGGAGCTGATGTAAGGAACGTTCCAGAGTCCACGGCGGGTATTTCTAACAATATCCATATAGTCGATGGAACGGCTGTAAAAACCGTCGGAAGAAAGTGTTCCCCAGAAGTTGCTCCAGGCAGAGTATGGGCGGATCATGACGGGCGCCACCACGCCCCTGTTCTGCTCTATCAACAAGGTGAGAGTGTTGGGGTTGTCCAGATGACTGACGGAGTCAACCACGAACAAATAATCACACTTAATCTCAAGACACTTCTCCAGTCCCTGGTTTCTAGCTGATCCCTCGTCCACTCCCTCCAGGTGTGAGATTACTTGGATACTGTTGAAGGTCTCAACCTCGTTCCCCTGACTCCAGTACTTAACAAACTCCGACACCTGCTTCTCGTGGTGCTCAACGTTGTTGTGGATTAACAAATCAATGGCGGACTTGTCATACTCCAGGTTGATTAGCTTCTCCCAGAACTCGTCCATGAACGGGGTTGGGAGCTCGATATACACCGCGAGGAGAACACGAGGGGTTTCTATACTCTTTATACTCTGTGTATCCTTCCAGCATTCTACACATCCGTCCTTAGTGTTCCAGGACCCGGGGATATAGTTCCCCAGAGTGTTCAGGAACAACTTGCTCGGACCGTTTCCGTGGAACACCATAGGGAGGGTGTCAAAGACTATGTTGTAGAAATAAGGATCGTTTCCTGCAAACCTGAGCTCAACGTTGTCTGTTTCTCCGTTAAGGTTCTGAAATATCTCAGCTTTATGATCTAGTTTCATTCCCAGGTTCTGTCTCAGATCATTATCCAGGTAGATCTTTGTATAGAAGAGTTGGTCGTCTTCTGTATCTCCTAGATCTCCTCCTGCTGCCAGCAGCTCCCTCACGTCCTTGATGGCGCCGATGAATCCCCCGGAGTTGAGGAACCTTCTCCCCTTCTCCACAATAGGATAGCGGGACTTCAAGCTGATATCAGGCCAGCAGAACCCCTCAGCTCCAAATATTATTCCTCCTCCCATCTTATCATACTGTCCTAGAATTATATACAATGTTTTATAAAATTTATCATTTAAGATATATCATATATATGTTTAATCAATTTCGTTATTTCAAATCATTTTAATTATCATTAAAATCATTGTTATTACTTTAGTTATTATTATTATCTGTTATTGTGAAACCTGCGCCTGCGCTCTCTACAAAGTCGGATACAGTGTTTATATATTTAGTAAGGAAATTAAATAATAATTGTCGAGAAAGTCGGATACAGTGTTTATATATTTAGGAAGGAAATTAAATAACTTAATTGTCGAGAAAGTCGGATACAGTGTTTATATATTTAGTAAGGAAATTAAATAATAATTGTCGAGAAAGTCGGATACAGTGTTTATATATTTACGTCATAACTGTCGGTAAACATCATGAATCCTTCCTCCTTCTCCTTCCTTCTCTCCAACTCCTTCTTAAGGAGGTTCACCTTCCACCCCCCTGCAGGATAGTTCATGTCTCCTCCCTAATCAGAATATTTACCATTTTTTCAACACAAAGCAAAAAAATATTTTAGCCCAAAAAATCCACTTGTTCTCGTACATTATTTTGATGGTCTGCTTAATACAAAGAATAAAAGAGTCTTGGTTTATATGAAATACTTGGAAAAACATTATCTTTTTAAGAATTTCGTAAAAAAATTTAAGTTAATAACACTTCTGTCTTAATAAATCCTTTTTCTCCGAAGAAACATCTTGAATTCCTGAAACTTGTCAAAAAAAAACATTCTTTATTTTGTGGAAAAATATCTTTTCTATAAAAATTGACTGGAATCAATTGTTCATATGTTTAAACTTTAAAGCTGGTGAACGAAATAGACTTTTTGCACTATTTTGATAAATAAATCTGGAGCTTTGCTAAGACAAATATTCTTCCCTGCCAGTCTTGTCCTAGACCCAGAGTAACCAGCTCGAACCCGAACACGTCCAATGATCTGACAAACCGGAGATATCCGTCCGTCCTTTCCGTGGCAACGGTGAACACGGTTAGCTTCCGCTCCTTAGCTCCGGTATAGGAAACCAGTGTTAGGAGCAGACATGATATTAGTTTCAAACTCATCTTCTCCTTTTAAACCCCCTCCAGTCTAATATCTGAAAGTGAATTTTATTGAAGGGAAAATGTAACATTTTATTCCTATAACATTTTTCAATACTTGTCATCTCCGAGCATTTTGAAAAATACAATCACAAAAGTTATTCGAGTGTCTTTTTCAATGATATGTTTAAAAACTGATGATTTTAGTAAAAAATCGTACTTCGTGTATTTTGAAGGTAGTTGTTTCGAAAAGGTGTCCGAAGGAAATTAAATAATAATTGTCGAGAAAGTCGGATACAGTTTTTATATATTTAGTAAGGAAATTAAATAATAATTGTCGAGAAAGTCGGATACAGTGTTTATATATTTAGGAAGGAAATTAAATAACTTAATTGTCGAAAAAGTCTAATACAGTTTTTATATATTTAGTAAGGAAATTAAATAATAATTGTCGAGAAAGTCGGAAACAGTGTTTATATATTTAGTAAGGAAATTAAATAATAATTGTCGAGAAAGTCGGATACAGTGTTTATATATTTAGTAAGGAAATTAAATAATAATTGTCGAGAAAGTCGGATACAGTGTTTATATATTTAGTAAGGAAATCAAATAATAATTGTATTTATATATTTAGTAAGGAAATTAAATAATAATTGTCGAGAAAGTCGGATACAACTCAACACTTTCAGAATTTAGATTACATAAAGTGATTTAAGATCGTTAATACAGTTAATGTAAGAAGTATGTTTTGCATAAAAACTGTTAAATCCGGTTTAAAAATTGAACTAAATCATCCTCGGTTTAAAAAATAGAAACTCATTACTTTAACCCAGTTCCTTTCTAATGCATTACCAAAACATAGTACCTCGATAAAAAAAACCAGGACTTCTATATATAAATTTGGCTTGTCTGTCTGTTTGTTTGTTTGTCTTTCTGTTTGTTTGTATCCAATAAACGTCAAAACGGCTGAACCGATCGGGCCCAAATTTTTTGTGGGACATCTAGGGACCCCAGGGAAGGTTTATGAATGATCAAAATTCAAATATTTGTCTCCATCAAAATTCGATCTCCATTAAATTTTTTAAAATTTTGAAAATCCACAAATTTTTTTGTGAAAATCCGCGAATTATTTTTGTTTTGTTTTACGATGACAAAGAGAACATGTTCACAATTAATTTAGAAGATGGGCGCTTCGCTAGTGATATTAAATCGCACTAGCCCAAACACTAAGCAAATACCATGAGAAGAACCTTAACTACATAAAAACTGTATACCCATGAGAAGCAATTACTCAATGGTCAAAATTACAATTATTCCAAATACCAGGTGAAACTGTGTACCCTAAGAAAAAACTCAATATTAAGCCCAGAATCGGCGAAAAACTTTGTACCTTGAGAAAAAACTCATTACTAATCCTTGAACCCTGAGAAGAAACTCACTACTAATCCCAGTACCCTGAGAGGACACTGCAGTTTACCCTGAGTTGAGAAAAAACTCAGTTCTAAGCCCAGTATTCTAAGAGGAAACTCTCTCTACTAAACCCAGTACCCTGAGAAGATACTCATACTCACTACTTACTACTAAGCCTAGTACCCTGTGAGTAAACTGTATACCCTGAGAGTAAACTGTATACCCTGAGAAGAAACTCACTACTAAGTACTAACTAGTAACTACTTAACTAGCCCAGTTCAGTACCCTGAGAGGAGAGGGATCTATTCTATACACTGCTGTCTGCTCCGCTCTGTTATTGTGAAACCTGCGCCTGCGCTCTCTACAAGCTATAGCAGTTCTCCAGACGCAGAACATTAATATCTATTATTTCATAGAATTGATATACATATTTTATAATAAATAATGATATCAAATATATATTTACACTGAATGCAGTATTGATTAAGCCTTTTTTAATGAGACTTTTTTAGTTAAGGGCAAAAGTGAGATATTAAAGTAATTTTTCTATACACTATACTTAAATGGAATACATGCGTAGTTTCAAGTGACCCTCCATTTATAGAGTGGCATATGTCTGATGTACCTTTGAAACCTTCATTTCTCCATCGTTTCTTATAAGCAAGAAATGCGCGAGTCAGTTTTGTAGAGAAACCACGAATAAAAATATTCAGTTTTCAAAATGGGAAACATGGATGTTTAATGCAATACTTGATCAGACAAAGCTTTGAAGGGTATTGTTGTGAATCAGAATATATTTTATTTCTTTTCTTAATCTTATAGTTTGGGTGATCGAGTGCATGCAGTGCAATGACGAATGTAGATTGCTAGACGAAGTACCTGTATTCCTCAATTAAGTATTAAACCTGTATTTCCAAGTTCTGTATGAAACCCCCCTGGCTTAGTATGGAACCTGTACTTCTTGGTTAAGTATTAAACCTGTATTCCCTGGCTTAGTATGGAACCTATATTTCTTGGTTAAGTATTAAACCTGTATTCCAAAGTTTAGTATTAAAGCTGTATTCCCTGGCTTAGTATTGAACCTGTATTTCCTGATTTAGTATTTTATCTGTATTTCCAGGTTTTGTATTACACTGCATTCTATGGTTTAGCATTGAACCTATATTCTTTGGTTATTCCAGGTGTATTGAACCTATGTTCCCTGGTTTCTCCAGGTGTATTGAACCTATGCCCTCTGGTTTCTCCAGTTAAATTGAACCTGTGTTCTCTGGGTTTTTCTAGATGTATTGAACCTATGTTCTCTGGTTTCTCCTAGTGTAATGAACCTATGTTCCCTGGTTCTCCAGGTTTATTGAACCTATGTTCCTTGGTTTCTCCAGGTACATTGAATCTGTGTTCTCTGGTTTCTCCAGTTACATTGAACCTATGTTCTCTGGTTTCTCCAGGTACATTGAATCTGTTTACTCTGGTTTCTCCAGGTGTATTTAACCTATGTTCTCTGGTTTCTCCAGGTATACATTGAACCTATGTTCTCTGGTTTCTTCAGGTGTTTTGAACCTATTTTCTCTGGTTTGTCCAGATTCATTGAACCTATATTCTCTGGTTTCTCCAGGTGTATTGAACCTATGTTCTCTAGTTTCTCCAGGTACATTGAACCCATGTTCTCTGGTTTCTCCAGGTGCATAGAACCTGCGTTCCCTTTCTCTAGAAATATTGAACATATGTTCTCTGGTATCTCCAGGTATATTGAACCTAAGAAATATGTTCTCCTGGTTTTTCCAAGTATATTAAACCTATGTTCCCTGGTTTCTCCAGGTATTGAATCTATGTTATTTGGTTTCTCAATTTATATTGAACCTATGTTTTTGGATTTCTCCAGGTATATTGAACCTGTGTTCTCTGGCTTCTCCATTTATATTGAACCTATGTTCCCTGGTTTCTCCCGGTGTATTGAACCTTTGTTCCCTTGTTTCTCCAGGTACATTGAACCTGTTTTTCTCTGGTTTCTCCAGGTTTATTGAACTTATGTTCTTTGGTTTCTTCAGGTGTATTAAACCTATTTTCTTTGGTTTCTCCAGGTACATTGAAGCTATGTTCTCTGGTTTCTCCAGGTGTATTGAACCTATGTTCTCTGGTTTCTCCGGGTATATTGAACCTATGTTCCCGGGTTTCTCTAGGTTTAAATTCAACCCATGTTACCTAGTTTCTCTGCGTAAATTAAACTTGTAATCTCTAATTTCCCTACTTGTCTGAACTGTGCGTAAGGTAAATTGAACCTATGTTCCCTATTTTCTTAAGGTGTATTGAACCTTTGTTCGTTGGTTTCTCCAGGTGTATTGAACCTGTGTTCTCTGGTTTCCCCAGGTTTATTGAACTTATGTTCTCTGGTTTCTTCAGGTATATTAAACCTATGTTCTTTGGTTTCTCCAGGTACATTGAAGCTATGTTCTCTGGTTTCTCCAGGTGTATTGAACCTATGTTCTCTGGTTTCTCCAGGTGTATTGAACCTATGTTCTCTGGTTTCTCCAGGTGTATTGAACCTATGTTCCCTGGTTTCTCCGGGTGTATTGAACCTATGTTCCCTGGTTTCTCCAGGTGTATTGAACAGCTATGTTCCCTGGTTTCTCCAGGTGTATTGAACAGCTATGTTCCCTGGTTTCTCCAGGTGTATTGAACCTATGTTCTCTGGTTTCTCCAGGTGTATTGAACCTATGTTCCCTGGTTTCTCCGGGAATATTGAACCTATGTTCCCTGGTTTCTCCAGGTGTATTGAACAGCTATGTTCTCTGGTTTCTCCAGGTTTATTGAACTTATGTTCTCTGGTTTCTCCAGGTGTATGAACCTATATTTCTTGGTTTCTCCAGGTATTTTGAACCTGTGTTCTCTGGTTTCTAAGGTGTATTGAACCTATGTTCCCTGGTTTCTCCAGGTGTATTGAACCTTTCCCTGGATTCTCCAGGAACTTTGAACCTATGTTCTCTGGTTTCTCCGGGTATATTTGAACCTATGTTCCCGGGTTTCTCTAGGTATAAATTCAACCCATGTTCGCTAATTTCTCTGCGTATATTAAACTTTTAATCTCTGATTTCCCTACTTGTCTGAACCGTGCATAGTTTCTCTTGTTTTTCAGAATGAATCCTGAAATATCCTTAATTAAACGTTTAAATGTGTCTCACGGTCACTGGTTTATAGAGGTTCAGTCATCATCCTTTCTCTCTTGCAGTAGTTCCAATTCATCTCCTGATTTGCATCTTTTAGATTTCTCAACCTTGCACTTACTTTCTAACTTCTTACTTTCTATAGTTACTTAGTTAGAATTACCACATTATTATTTGAGTAAGTAATTAATGGTTCCTTGTTTCGAAGAAAAAGAATTTAGTATTTATTCTAGTTATTGGATGTTACCAACTCACTACTCACTTAATTAACCGCCCTTAGTTACCCACCTCATACTTATTTAATAACTTTCCTCATAAAAAATTATAAGTAATCTGCACTTGTTTATTGTGAATGTATCTTATAAATTCACCTGCTTAAACTTCTTAAATTATCAATTTTTTTAAATTTCACTAAACACGGGTTTTAACAAAAATGGTGTAAAAATAAAACCTCATCAATTTTAAAAGTAATTCAAAAAGTGTAAAAAAATAGAGGCACTTACTCATTGCATAATTTTACATTTACATTTACATTTACATTTTAAGAATTTATGATTGATCATTCTAACCAACATTCATAATCTTATTTCATTTTTGATTTTATAGAAGTTCTTTCAAAGAAGATACACAGGTTACAGTTATCAAATATGAAAATTAGTTAGAAGTTGTCCAGGTTCAGTCTCAGCATGTTCACTAGATTTGGAACTGAGTTTTTGCCACAAACTCAAATATTCTAATCCCTAAATCTTTGCACCGAGTGGTGTAAACCTTTAATATCTCAACACAAATACAAAACAGTTCAGAATTTTTTTACATTAAATGTTTACAGATGTTTGAGAATTCAGAAAAATAACAATATATTTTACAACTAACCATAGTAGAATACAATTTCTACAATAACTCTTATTCCTGACTTCTGTGATACTGATATTCGCCAATCTTTCTTTTCATTTTGCAGGGAGGGTGCCCCCTTTCAGGTGCTAGGGGGCGCGCGCCCGGCCGCCCCCCCCCAGAATTGCACCTCTGGGATAAAGTAATTTCGGATTTTTGTTTTTTATGATTTCAATTTATGAAATATTAAGATATAATTTTTAAGTGACAATTTTTTCAAGGGTTCCTTTTATATGTTCAAAGTATGCATAATCATTTTCTTAAAAATCAGAATTAAATTTTTTCCAAAAGTTACTCAAACGCTGAATCCGCTGAAACATGATTATACAGGGTGTCCCACATCATATTAGACCGTCAAAGGGTCTAAATTGCGATTTTCGGGACTAATAAGAAAATTTAATTAGAATGAATCAATTTGAAAAATAACATAAGGCTTATATAAGAATTTTCTTGCGGAAAATGATAAGTTTTTCGAGTATTGAGGGTTTATTTTTTTCGTTATAAGATTAGAGATAATCTAATATGATATGGGACGCTCTGTATATAAACTCACTCTAGACAAATATGACGAAAATAGAGTTCAAGAATTGTTAAACCGTTTTTTTCAGCAATAGGTGTCTCTGCACTCAATTTTTTTTCTCTCATCTAGAGAAAAATCCTATACATTTTTTTGTGTTTGGATAAATATTAAACATCTACAATTCATCATTATAAAGCAAGTATTTCAAGCAAAATTATCTCGTTTCATAATAATTCGTGTTTAAAAGTCAGAAGCATTAATTAAAGGTTTATTAAGTAAATATTGCCACTTTACTACAATGCATGTTAATAACGTGACATGACTTGACGTGACCCCTTAATCTTAAAGTACCCCGATGCCCGCTTCAACCAAATTGATTAGATGCAAAAATAGCTAGTTCTTAACGTAATTATCATTTTTGGAAAGGAAAAGTTTTGAGTAAAAATTGATCTTTTAAAATGTCGTCTTGAACTATTTCAATTTTCTCAGGTAGAACTCGTAGAACTCGTAGTAAACAATAAACAGTACACTTTTAGTTTCATCAACTAAAGAAATTTTAAAAACTTTGAAAAAGCAAAGAGGGGGTTATCAGGTGGGTTAATATAAATAAATATAAAAGATAATCGGTGGGTATCATGTATTAAGATGAATTTTTAAATGTCTCGACACAAATTAATGAAATTAACATATTGCTGCAGTGCAGCAGTGCAGGGGTCTGTCCTAGTGAACGATTTTTGCCCCCCCCCCCCCTCCTATCAATTTTGTACATGACCATTTATTTTTCAGCAAATTTATTATTATTTTTTTTTATTTAGGGTTAGGTTAGGTTAAGACACTTTCTGGGCCGAGCGCTGCGGCTAGGATGTGCTAGGGGGCCGAGCGCTCCGGCCACGGGTTAGGTTAGTTAAGACACTTCCGGGCCGAGCGCTGCGGCTAGGACAGGCTAGGGGGCCGAGCGCTGCGGCCACAGGTTAGGTTAAGTTAAGAAACTTCGTGTCAGACCCATGTACAAAATTGATAGGAGGGGGAGGGGGGGGGGGGTCCAAAAATCGTTCTCTAGGAATATACCCAGTGCAGAAATTAGACAAAAATGATGAAAAAGAAATTGAAATTTTCTGAAAATCGATTAAATGGCAAGAAGTGTTATTGTTAAGTTAGATTTTTCATTTAATCTTTTTACTTATCTTTTGATTTATGAATACAACATAATTCTGAACAGAAAAAATAATATGCATAAATATTATCAAATTTTAGGGCCCCGCCCCGTCCTTGTATCCTATCCGCTTTTTAGATTCCCTGGGGCCCCTCCTGCGAAAAATAATATTATTTTGTTTCCGCATGACCAAAAGCCATATAACTCTATATGCGTTTTATATAAACTAAAAAAAATAGTTTTTATTAACCTGTAAACTTACGGATAAATATAATATTTACAAACAAGTAATAAAGTTAGTAATATATTTATCCTAATTGACTGGAAAACTATTATTATAACACGATCCTAAATGTATCTTTGTAACACGAACCTACAACTATCGTTATAACACAAACCTAAAAACTAGATCGTTATAACACTTCCATAAAACTATCGTTATAACACAATCCTAAAACTATCTTTATAACACTATCCTAAAACTTTCGTTATAACACGATCCTAAAACTATCGTTATAACACGATCCAAAAACTTTTGTTATAACACGATCCTAAAACTATCGTTATAACAAGAACCTAAAAACTAGATCGTTTTAACATGATCCTAAAACTAGCGTTATAACACGTCCTAAAACTATTGTTATAACACGAACCTAAAACTATCGTTATAACATGATCTGTTTTGATTCGTTTTTGTTTATATTTTCAGGGTCAAATTTCGGCATAGTGTAATTTTACCCTAAAAAAAAATAATAGAAATTTAAAGTTTGGGGGGGGGAGTCAAAAAGTGTATACTGAAAAATTACTGAACTTTTTCTGTCCTTAGTGGAATGGATTTGTTAGGGCTTGCACAAATTTTGAAGTGCTTTTACGGAGGTTAATGTTTGCAACGATTGCAACTGTATACTCTTTGTTTATTAATGAAAAATGAAGAAAAAAATGATTATTTTTTGAAAGACTTGTAATCAATAAATTTTTTAATATTTCTCTAAAATGAAATTAATATTATGTTATTTCAGGGATTTGAACACTATGGAACGACATCAGTGTCCTGTGTGTGAGAAATGGCTTTCAAAATCTGATCGTTTGTCTAATCACATGAGAATCCATACTGGAGAAAAGCCGTATACCTGTTCTGTCTGCGGAAAATCGTTCAGACAGTCATCAAACTTGAGCCAACACATGAGAAATCATACTAAAGAAAGACCATTTAGTTGTGAGGTTTGTCACAAAACATTTACACAGTCTGGGACATTAACTGATCATATGAGAGTGCATACCGGAGAAAAACCATTCTCCTGCTCTATATGCTCAAAATCTTTTGCTCAATCCTCTGTGTTGAGAACACACATGAGAAGTCACACCGGAGAAAAACCATATCATTGTTCGGTTTGTACCAAATCTTGCGCGACCGTCAGTGATATAAGGAAGCACATGAGAACCCATACTGGGGAAAGACCTTTCACCTGCTCTATTTGTGAAAAATCCTTTGCAGATTCTGGAAACTTGTCAAAGCACATGAAAATTCATAATATTGAGAAGCCTCCAAGACAATTATGTGAGAAAGCAATAGCTGACGCAAAAAAGCTTGAAACGAAAGAGCTTAAGGAAGGACAGAACCTTCTTTATGAATCAAAAGGAAAACTTACCGGACAAATTTATGTAGAAAAACGAGAATTAAAAACTGACCAGGATGACAGTTTAGACGTGTCTCTTGATTCCCCTGAATCCCTTGAAGTCCTGGTTGACCTGGATACTGGGATCCGTGTGTTTAAAACCGAGGAAGTTATCTACAAGGAAGAGATCTACAAGGAAGAGATCTACAAAGAAGAGTTCTACAAGGAAGAGATCTACAAGGAAGAGCCTGATCCTAATCAGCCTATGAAGTTGGAGGATCAAGAAAAGCTTGAAGTTATTATTAAGGAAGAAGAAGGTTCGACTTCACCCTATACTTGTACAGTGTGCAATGAATCTTTTTCCCTGAACTTCTTTTTGAATAAACATATGAGAACTCACAAAACAAACAAAGAGTATCCGTGTTCATTTTGTGAAAAAGTATTTAAAGAATCTGCTACGTTAACGTCGCACATGAGACTTCATACTGGAGAAAGACCGTTTTCTTGTTCATTCTGTGAGAAAACGTTTTCACAAGCTGGGAACTTGGCAACACATATTAGAATTCATACGGGTGAGAAACCATACACCTGTGCAGTTTGCAACAAGGATTTTGTTCAATCAAATCAGTTGAAAAGCCACATGAGAGTCCACACTGGTGAGAAACCATACAGTTGTCCCTTCTGTTTGAGGACTTTCAGTAATTCTACTACTTTGAGGAAACACAAGAAAACACAAATACACAGAGGTGAAACACCCTACTTGTGCACAACATGCCAAGCATCTTTCCCAGATTCGATAACTTTTACTGAGCATACAGAATCCCACAATAAGGTTAAGACATATCCCTGTCCTATATGCCAGAAACAATTTAAAAAGTCTCATCTTCTGGCAAAGCACAAGAAAATCCATCTAGGTTTAAAGCCCCACTCCTGTTCTATCTGTGGAGTTTCCTATGCAGAATCTTCGAATCTTGTAATACACATGAGAAACCATACTGGAGAAAGACCATACAGTTGCAAACTCTGTGATCATACCTTTATACGCTCCAGTACTTTGTCAGAACACATGAGAACACATACTGGAGAGAAACCATTCCAATGTTCTCAATGTGATAAAGCGTTTACTCAATCTTCTCAATTAAATGTTCATATGAGAATTCATACAGGAGAGAAACCATTCAGCTGCAGTATTTGTGAGAAAACTTTCGCAATAAACAGTGGTTTAACAAGACACATGATGATACATACTGGAGAACGGCCTTATACTTGTACTATCTGTGAAAAATCCTATGCGGATAGTAGTAACTTTTCAAAACATAAGAAAACTCATTTGAAAGAGAACAAATACCAAGTCTAATTAAATTTTTCCCTCTCTATACTTTTTTTAATTTGTTGAAGTAGCTTAACTTTTTTTTGTAGGTGCAACGTTTTTCCGCCAATCGTTATAAATGATGTATGCGAATAAAATAGAAAATCTAAGAAACAAATATATTATTTTTCTGTTAGTTCTGGGTCGATGCAAGTTTCAAACCTGATACTTAATGTAGGGTTTGGGCCAAATCATTGTATTCATTTGATTTCCTATAGCGTTATTTCTCCCTTTAGCTATACGTATTTTCTAGTAACTTTTAGTTTAGTTTACGGTATGTAAAACATCTTTGTTGGATTATAAATGCTTAAAACATTTTCAATCTAGGAAAACGCCGCGGTATTGACCAGAAAAAGGTTTTTGGGTAATATCGTGAAGATAGTGAAGTGTGATAAGCAATAACTTTTAATGTTCTTGGATTTCAAAGGTTCAACCAAAATCTAAGAAGATTTTAAAATTTCTTTCTCAAAATTGGTTTTTCTCAACATTTGCTTTCCTTACCCTATGCCAAATTTTGATCCTGACAGAAGACATGTGCTAAGAACAGACCAAAGATTTACTAAAAACAATTATTTCAAACAGATAGTTTTTGGTTAGTCCTACTGATATGACACCTATCTTTTAGTTTAGAAATGTTTTATATCGATACAGTATTGAAATGTTGGCAGCAGTTCACAGTATTTGTTTGCTGCTTATTACGTGTCCCAAAACCATAAAAGTTCGGGAAAAAAGCGAACCAAGTTATTGCGAATCAGGTAAACGGAGTATACCCATACTGAAATGAAAAGTCACTTTAAATTATGACAAAACAACATCCTGTAATAATAAAGATTGTATGTTAAAAAATCTTCAAAGTTACTGCAAGTTTTACGATGAATTATGGTCGAAACTCCATCCTTTAATTTTCCTTATCTCTCAATTCTCCTCAACTTCATATTTTAAAACTTAATTCATAGTAAATAGTACGTTGCATTGAATTTCCAAAATATAGATTTTTAATCTGAACTTTATGTTCTTGTTGAACGAAAATCAAATAATTTATAACTATTAAAAAAAATTTTATTTCATTTATCGTTGGACTCTTTATTCCCAAGGGTTTCAGGGGTACTTTATTAACGAAAAGGGATATTTAGATATTTCAGAAAAAAAAATTTTTGCTGTTCCTCTTCTTTTAAAATAAGTTTTCATTTCTGGACACTTAACAATGGGACCCATAAAACTATGGAATAGGAAGACGACAATCGAGCTAATATTTTTACCAGAAACGTAGTAAGTGAGATGTGTTTGTGTACTTTGTACACCGCACAATTGTTGTCTTTTATTATCTAAAATCGTAATTTTTGTCGATCAGTATTTAGCTGTCTTCCTATTCCATGGTTCTATGAGTAGACTAAAAAAATATTGAAATCCTTCTTCATAAAATATTTATAACTTTTGAATATTCGGTAACTATGCAGGGTCTGCAGGAAAGTAGAAAATAGTTTGATTGAATCGGCAAACCTCTTACAAACTAATTCAAACATTCAGAAAATTTAGTGAAAATTGTATATAATAGATAATACTAGAGGAATTTAAAGATTTTTAAAATTGTTGAAATATTTTAAGTTACGTATAAAATAACAATATTTCAATCATTTTTTACTTAGAAAAAAATATGTCCTCAACAAGAAGTTTGAAATAGAATATTTCAAAAAGTTATATATATAGATGCTAATCCATGGAACAAAATAATAAGTAATCTGTCCTTTTATTTGTGAGTCATGAAGCCTTACTTTCTCCTATGTAAAGAAAATTATTATCAACTATAGTGAGACCAAGAAACAATCTGATTTTGCAATTTTATGTTTCCAAGCTGTACCACACAAATTTTATATATCCTAATTCTAAAATTGTTGAAAATTTAATTCCATTCCTAAATCTTGAGTTGCGCCTCCGAATTTGAAAATTCTAGTTCACAATTAAGAAAAGTATCTTGATTTTAAATAACAATATTTCCTTTCCTCATACTTCTTTCCTTTACTCATACTCTTTCCTTTCCTCATACTTCTTTCATTTCCTCATACTTCTTTCCTTTCCTCATACTTCTTTCCTTTCATCATACTTCTTTCCTTTCCTCATATACTTCTTTCCTTTCATCATACTTCTTTCCTTTCCTCATACTTCTTTCCTTTCCTCATACTTCTTACCTTTCATCATACTTCTTTCCTTTCCTCATACTTCTTTCTTTTCCTCATACTTTGATGTAAAATCAAAATCAAAAAAGATCGAGGCCACAAAGTCATATTAGCAAAATTGCATAAAGGAATTGAGGTTTTGCCACCAACTCTGGTTTTCTTATCCCAATATCTAGCAACCCAAAATCTGTTAGATCAAATAAGTTTGAAAAATCAAAGGTTTACGCCATCAGGTTGCAAAAACTTGGAAATTGGAAAAATTAATTTTGTGACAAAGACTCAATTCTTTTGACCACTTCCCTTATGTCTAAAATTTGAAGTTATATTCCGTAATATCAGACCCGTCTCTGAACAAGAGATTGGAGAAAATTATGTTGGATCCTGAAACGGATCTTTAAAGGGGCTGTAGGAGTAATTTCAAGTGACCTTTCATTTAAAGGGGGCCACGTCCGATTAATAAAAGTACTCTTTAAACCTCTATCTGATTAACAAAGAGCAAGATAACGTCTTTTTTCTATCTTAAAACTGTTCTTGCTGATATCCTCGATGAATATCTTCGATATATGAGCAAGTGACTTTTACAGAGAAACCGCAATTGAAAATAATCAACTTTTAATTCAAAAAAATCTTGTTCATCCTTGTTTAAAGGTTTAAAGGTTAAAGGTTTAAAGGTTACCGTTGTGAATCGGACATCAAATCAAATCAAATCTTTTATTAGGCCACAAATTATACAATGTACATACATATAAATGCTAATTGAAAATAACAAACAATTAAAAGTATATTGTGGCCGGGGAGCTACAAGATAGCTCAGGCTGTTTACACATGAGCTCCCCTGGTTCAGCATAATATAGATAAGATTTAAACAATTTTCTATGTGCATGAATGGAGCGGAGTTTAGCAGCGGTGGCGGTTGGAGAGCAGGAGGCGGAGAAATGGCATCAAACTAATCAGTCAGGATCATGGATCACTTGCAATGTCGTTTACAGTCCCTTTAATTAGAAGTATAACCAAGTTTGCCAAATATAATCAGAGCGGTGCGTTAAAGTATTTGCTTAGGATAATAAAATCTAGATTGAAACACATGGCGGTGGTGGACCGGCGGTGGTGGAAGCTTTTACTAAGAAAATATCTAACGAATGCATTTCAAATATTTTCTGAGAGCATGCTAGCTTTGATTCTTTTCTATTTTTATAGAAAGATGTGCCGGAGTGTTTGTATCATTTTTTTGAACTTTGATATTTATTCTTACAGCATTTTACAAATATGGTCGATCAACCCCCCCTCTCCCTCCAATCATCTTCTTAACCTCCTTAACCCGAATTTTTAATTAATTCAAGCGTCCAACATAATCAATTCTTAACTTGTTTTTTATGTTCTTTAATTCATGTCCAACATGATACTTTCCTTTTACTTTGTTTCCTCTCGATCATAATCCTTAAAGATAATAATCCTTACAGATCAATGTGAAACAAGTGTTTCTCCTTGATCTTGAATTCATGTCCAACATGATCCTTTCCTTTTACTTTGTTTCCTGCAGTATTTTTTTATTTCTATTAAAATTTATCAATTACTTTCTATCACTGACCAGAGTGCGGTCACCGATTTCTCCTCTTCTCTCCCTATACGTTTTAAGTATTTATTCCTCATGAGTACACACCCCCAATCTTATACCCCTCCCCATAAACCCCCTGGTAAAGAATTAATTTGACTGGATTTCTCTCACACGATTTACATCTTTTAAACTGCCGAATAGGACCACACAGAAGCCTGACCTGGAATCTTTATATGTGATGTGCATGTTTGCAAAACCCAGTTTTGAAAACCCATTTGGTATCCGGGTTTAAAGACTTTTAATGATTTCCCAGAGTTGCCAATTCATTTCAAAAAGTGATCTAAATTGAAAATTAACTTAGAAAAGACAATAAGCTATAATCCCAAAAACTCAGTTTTGATTATTCCAAAGTTTCTACCTTTGAAACTCTAACACAAAGCAATCTTCTTTGGTCTCATATAGTACAGCATATATAGCGCCACAATCCATGTTTTTATTTTCTTTATCAAAGAAAACTTTGTACCATAAGTATATTGTACAATTTACATGAAACATACATTTTACATATATGTACTGCACATGAGTTTACGAAAGTCTTGTCTTGGTTTATATAAAAGCGTAATGTAAAATACATAAAAAGTCATCTGTTTTAAATGTTACCTATATGTTACCTATATAGATTTAAAGGGTGGGGGTTTTATCTAGTTCTTAACGATCTCATCATCTTTACTCATTTATATAGATTTCCAGTTAATCATATATTCAGAATTGATACATTGAAAGGAATTGAGTTTTTGCCACAAACTTAGATTTTCTAATTCTTATAACTTAGCAAACCGTTTTCCCAGACCTTTGATATTTAAAACTATTAATTCTGGTAGATCAAATAGTCTAAGTTTGAAATATTAAAGTTTTACAACATCAGGTTGCAAAGATATAGGGGTTAGAAAATTTAAGTTTGTTGCAAAAACTCAATTCCTTTGTAAGGTTATGTATTCATTGGAGTCCAGATTGTCCTGATTAATTAATATTTACAAATCATTGTTAAAGCTAAGAGGTCTCTGTTCTCCTCTATCCAGTCCTCCTGCCCTACCTAAACCATCCACCACCACACCGTCAATACCGTATCTATAATTTTTCCTTCTTTTATTATCGAGCAACTGGGGAGCTGATATGAAAACAGCTACAGCTATAGCAGTTCTCCAGACGCAGAACATTAATCAGTTGACAATTAATCTACCACTTGAAATAATGATTTATCAATGTTCTGCGTAAATAAATAATATTTGATTTGATTATGCAATTCAGAATATTATTGATCTACATTTACATATCCATGGATCACACTAAACCTCAATCCTAATNAAACCTCTTATATATATATA